AACTTTTCTCTTTTGTTGGACAACTTTTCCCCTCCGTTGCCCGAAGGAGCAACTCATTCAGGGGTTTAAAGTTATTTTAATCAACAGATGAGTTTCTCATCAGGGAATGTTGGACACGTCTTCCCATTTCTTCTTCAAAAATGTCCTTCCTGTCTGTCTCCAGGCTTGATTGCCCTCCTGATGGAAGGAGAAGAGCTGGAACACCTCGTATCTCTGTCTCCTGAGGAGCTGCTTCTCCGATGGGTCAACTATCACCTAATCAACGCAGGAACAGAAACAATCAGCAACTTCAGTGCTGATATCAAGGTGCTTAGTGGAACTCTTACAGCTGTGTTTCTATAAATACACACAGAGCATCGTGTAAGGAATGTTTTGTTCTTTGACTTTGAAGGACTCTAGGGCTTACTTCCACCTGCTGGACCAGATTTCCCCTCAAGACGAAGACGAATTTCACATGGGGATCAAAATCAACATGGCCGGCCTCAGTGTGAGTTGGTTTGCTTCAGGGAAATCAGTTTGAGTCCTAACAGTGAGCATCCATGTTGTGTTTGTGAACACGAAGGAGTGGGATTTGGAGCGAAGGGCCGAGCTGATGCTGCAGGAGGCGGCCAAGTTGGACTGCCGACAGTTTGTCTCTCCTCGCGACGTCACGTCTGGAAACAGCAAACTCAACATGGCCTTTGTGGCCAACTTGTTTAACGTGCATCCGGGTCTGCACAAGGCGAAGTTTAACCTGGATGGGGAGCACATAGAGGGTAAGCGATTCTTGCAATGCAACATTAAAACTAGAAACTAGAAAGTCAGTGATGCCATAGACACATTTGAAAATGTTTTGCGTATGGAAAGTGAGGCATGTGGCCATTGCGGAGAATGACAACCTATATTTTGAATCTTCCCAGCGGAAACCAGGGAGGAGAAAACGTTTCGCAACTGGATGAACTCTCTGGGGGTTTCTCCACGTGTAAACCATCTTTATCGGTAGGTTCAGTTGTACATGTAATTATTCTTATCTGAGGAGGAGATAGCTAACATGTGAATGTGCAGCTTAACAGGGAAGCGATAGAAACATAGAGACCAAAAAAAGAGCACAACCTGTATGGGGTTTGATGTGCATCATAATTGTGAAGTATATTCAACTGGCTCATGTTTTTCCTTTTTGGTAACCCTTTATTTGAAGATGTGTGCATAAGACTGACACGACACTGTCATAAACATGACATAACACCTGTCAGGAACATGAGAGAGTTTTCATAAATGTCTGTTACTGTTGTCATGAAATAATGACACTTTCAATGCAAAGTTGCATTAAAAATGTCATTATTTAACGAATGACACTTTATGACAACAGTCGTAAACATTCATGAAAACTCCTTCATCTTCAAAACAGGTGTTATGTCATGTTTTAATGACTGTCATGTCAGCGTTATGCACACCCCTTCAAATAAGGTGTTACCCGTTTTTTTGAGTCAATTAAAGTTACAAGTCTTTGTGCAGATAGTTTGGAGACTTAGTCTGACTCGGTCAGATTAAATGTAGAGCAGTTTTGTTTTTGGCATGTTTTCGGTCAGATTCGGGTTTGTACGTAAAATTAGCGTTGTTTTAGTCACCCTAATATTGAAAGGTAAATATTCATCATCATGCATCATCTTCAGCTAAGATTAAGAGAAGCCTTGTTGGAAGGTCTTCAGAACGACATGCTGCTCCAATGCTGCAGGCTGCAGATGTGTGATTCTGCAGCTTTCCACAATGACTCTGAGTAACATTGGCTAAAAATAATGAAGTACCAATATTTTACATATGTACATATAACAAGAACTGCGAGCTTTAGTAGTTTTTAATTATTTTTTCATGGAATAATTGCATTGAATTTTTCCTTGAAAATAATTTAGGGTATTTAGGTAGATTTTTTAGATATATTTTGCTTATCATTAAGTTGGAGTGGTTTTTTTTTTACATAATTTTCCACAAGCATCTACATTCAACGCGAAAGAAAATGTACACTATAAAGTGTAGTCTGTATTAACTTTAAGCTGTGAGTCATATTCCAAAGGCTTTCTGTGTTAATATCCATTATATTTATTCTCATTTTCTGCAGGGATCTTTGTGATGGCTTGGTGATCCTGCAACTTCTAGAAAAAGTCAAAGTGGTAGTGAACTGGAAGAAAGTCAACAATCCTCCTTATCCTCAACTCGGGGGAAACATGAAGAAGGTGCCACATGCAAACACAGCAGAAATACTTTAACTATGAGCACAAGTAAATTTGTGTGGGTTTCAGTTTTTCATGATGTGTTCCAGCTGGAGAACTGCAACTACGCTGTAAAGTTGAGCAAGGATGAAGCTAAGTTCTCTCTGGTTGGAGTCGGAGGAGAAAACCTAAACGAGGGGAGTCGCACACACACCCTGGCTTTGGTCTGGCAGCTGATGAGAAGGTAGATGCTCCAGAAAGTGCTGGGTTTTTTTAGCTGATGTGTGTCCATGTAGCTGCTCTCTTAACATCTCCGTTATCTTTCCTGTTTGTTCTTCCTCAGGTACTCTGTTATGGTTCTTTCTGATCTGGGCAACGGAGAGAAAGTTGCGGATCAGTTTATCCTGAACTGGGTCAACTCCACCCTGAAGGAGAAGCGAAAGGACACACAGATCAGCAGCTTTAAGGTGAGTAGGACAAGATTACGTCTTCAAGAACAGCAACTTTCAAAAGTGTAGAAATGTTAACAGGCTTCCAAAGAAGACTGAAAGCTGACCAGTAATGAAAATATGCCATGAGAAAGTTGTTTTTTTTTAAGTTTTGCACATTTAATTAACTATGTTGTTCTCTTTTTTTCATATTTTTGTGCTTCCAACAGATTTGTTTTTTAACTGTGCTGCACTAAATCAATGTCAGAGTATTTTTCATACTCTTGTTTGATTTACTTTAAACAAAGCTGGCCTTTATAGTGGGTGGTGTCCACTTTCAGTGACCATCGTAATTTCAAGTTGCACTGGAATTCCATCCTGTTTTACTTTCTGCACAGGACAAGCTGATCAGCACCAGTTTGCCAGTGATTGACCTGATTGACGCCATCGCCCCTTCCATGGTCAAGTGGGACATGGTAAAGAGAGGAGCAAAGGGAGTCCTGAAGAACGATGAGAAAATAAACAACGCCAAGTAAAGAGCAATACTTCCCGTCCCTTCATTTTCATTTCCCGGTCCTTTCATTTCCCGACTAACTTCTCTCCTGTTTGTCTCTCAGGTATGCAATCTCATTGGCCCGTAAGATTGGCGCCCGGGTCTACGCCCTGCCTGATGACTTGGTGGAGGTAAACCCTAAAATGGTGATGACCGTGTTCGCCTGTCTCATGGGGCACGACATGCGAAGAAGCAAACACTAAATAGAAAACTAGGGTTTAACAACATCCAAACAAACAACCAATTGCATTTTTTTTCTGCATTTTTATTATTGTCATTTTTTTTTCTTGGAGTTTTTCCTTTGCTGCAATCACCAGCCTGAACAAATCTATTGGTTATTCTTTATTTTGCTGTCTAATAGCCCTAAACAATATTTTGATTATTCTCTTGTTTGTAAAGCTGTTGCATTTGTTTATGTATGATTTATAACTTTTTAGCACATATTTGCTCAACACTTATCAAACCTATCGTGAAATATTCACTACCTCTGCAATTTAAGATGAACCAGAGGGATACACAAAATAACATGGAAATGCCTTCTTGTAAAGCCTGTGAATGTCATGTGTTGAATATTGCTGTTGAATTACTGAAGATGACATCTATTAAATATAAAAGTTGAAAATTTGTGTGTTTTCTGTCTTTGTAAAAAAAAAATTCCAATGGTTTGAATAGATCAAACATGATACATCTGATTGTTTTTTAAAAAATTATAATGTTAGTAAGGCTACTGGTAAAAATCCATAAAGCATATACACTATCTCCATAAATTTTCTGGTTTAAAACATATTGCATTAAGAAAAATGATTGCTCCAAATCCATTTCACTTTAGTTTTAGTACAAATAAGTGCATTGCGAAAAGAAAACATTCATTGCACTCACTGGATGATTTAACCTCCCTTCAGGTTGTTAAAATTAGGAATATGTACAATTTAAAGCTAAACATTAAGTGGATTATAAGCACAGTAATCAGTAATGATAATAACAAACTGGAGCTATGGTTCTCAACATGTGGTACCAGAACCAATAGAGGCACTTCTTGAGTTAGCCTTTGCAATGCTCAAAAGAAATGTTGTTATTGTCTACAAAGTAGAAATACACTGGAGAATATTTCAAGAACCCCAAAGAACTAAAGGAAGCAGACGACAAGGAACCAACTTAACCATGATCTGGTGCAAACTGGAAAACGGGGTGATTTGCCAGTCCATAGGCTTAAGCTGACTACAATAAGCAATATAAACTGCATTTTCCAGCATTTTTTCTTGTCAAGTTTTTCCTCTAAAACGTTATAAATTTGGTGAAGATCTGGATCAAGCTGGACAATTTCCTTGGACACAAAATAAGTCACTTCCATTGAGTGAAAAAAAAAAAAATGATTCCAAACAATACCTATCCTCCATGAGGGATGTCTACAATCCCCCCACCGCCTTTTAACATGGAATAGTAAAGAAATATTATGCCAAATTTTCATACAAAAGATATAAAAACAACATTTCATGCCATATTATTTAGTTATGTCATAAAAATAAACCCATTTTATTATCATTATTATTTTTTATTGATGAACCCAAGTTTCTTTAACTTAAACCCAGTGTTTAGTTTCCACAAATAATTGTGTGTTTTTATTGCTAAAAACACACTCTCAAATATTTTTCGCCATTTTTGTTAATTTATATATTCATTCAGTTTCTTGGGCTGATTTTTACGTTAATTGCCCCCCAAAAAATGAACATTAAAAATAAATATGCAGTGTGGCTCTCAGAACTCGTGCTTGAGTATTTTGAGCCTCGGCGAATACCGTACCAAAACAAATGACGTCACTTTGGAGCGAAAGTTTTCGAAACTCGTGGAGCGGCGATGGACAGCTCTCCGTCAAAACGGCTTAATTTATACTTTTGCACTTAATAGCTTTCCACAAAGCCGAACAAGACGGAAGCGGAACCATGGATGGACTTGAAATGTCTGCAATGATACCGGCTCTTCAAGAGCTAGCTAAGTGAGTTAAAAGTTGGCTTCTAGCTAACATGCTAACAGCTTGTTACAGAGCTCCGCCACCTGTTTTCGTGTTTTAATCGGTCACCGTCTGTAGAAATGTGTAATGGCTCATTTCGTGAGGTCAATGCCGTGTTTGTTGTTTGCAGTGCCAGCGCTGCCGAGTACGAAGCAGCGGTGCAGAAGCCCCGGCAGATCCTCTGCCAGTTCATTGACAGGATACTGACAAATGTGGATGTTGGTAAGTCGGCAGTAATAACGAGCCACACAGACAGCAGGTGGGAATGCAGCTTTACGTCGAAGCGAATGTTGTAAACACCCGCACCGTTCTTTTAGGTGTTAGAATATATTGTAATCCAGCTGTTCTTTGTCGCATCAACCTGGTTTTCTTTAAATATTTTAATCACCAACATTGTTCCCCCAGGTGTTTCTGGTCATATAGTGATCCCAAGCAAAAGACTGAGTGCTATTAAAGTGCTATGAAAACGCATATTAAGAAAGCGACACTTCTGCAAGTTTTCATAGAATGTGGAAGATAACTTTCCCAATATATTTACTCATCACCGCATGTATTTCAGAGTAATCAGAAATGTTTATTTGATGTGATGGAGCTTCAGTTTAAATATTTGTGTAAACTGACCAATAATGGACTCAGAAGTGTGAAAATTTGATTGTAGAAAAGTATTGAATTGCATATGTGAACATTTTACACTTAAATCACTTTTGGTGAATATGGATTCATTTGTTTATTTATTTTAACATTTTTAAGATTTAGCTATTTTTATTCTTTTGTGAAGTACTTAAACCAACGAATAATCTTTTTTTTTTTTTTTTCAGTTGCTCTGGGCTTAAATAAAAAGTCCAGTTCGGAGCCGGCCTGTGTAATGCTGCTGGATTTTGTGCAACATATAGTCAAATCCTCATCTCTGATGTTTGCCAATCCTGCCTGTCAGCCTGCTGAGTATCCAGACACCATACAGAGCTGCACTGGTACGGACTATGTAGAAAACAAAACAAAAACAATAAACAAGAGAAAACAACTAAAGCACTTATTTCTCTATTTATTCACTTGTTTTTCTTCAGACTTCAGTAAGTGGGTGGCGGTGCGTTTGCTCCGCATCGGAGCATCTCCGGGCTGTGATGTCATCCACGGCCGGGTCTCTGCTGTGCTGTGCTCCTTGCTTCACTCTCTGCGGGTCCGGGTGCCCTTCATCTTCAGCTGCCTTGTTCGGGAGTTTGTTTTAATGGCTCAAGACCTCAGCAACGTCCTGGACGCCCACATAGCTGCGCTGTGTGGGTCGGACATCCGCACGCAGAACCAGTGGCCCGTGAAGCTCGAGCGCTTCCTCTTCTCCACCACGCGCGCCTCCTACCTCACCCAGACTCCCCTCGTTCTCTCGTCGCCTGCCGCCTTGGAGTCGCTGACCGCTGTCGCTCTCGGCATCATAACCGACACTCTGAGGGGAGTCGTTTCCTGTCGCGACCTGAGCGCGGCCTGGGAGACGGCCTGCTCTGTTTTGGCGAACAGCAACACCAGGCTGAGGAAGATTTCCATGGCGATGTTGCGAAAACTGGTGGAGCTGAGAAAGTTCGACGAGACCCAGAGCCACAATTTCTTCGCTGCCTTTTTTCACCTGCTCGAAACGTACGACTTCTCGGATGAGAAGGAGCCCTACGAAGGGGAGCTGCTGAAGCTCACCCGCTGTCTGTTTCAGTCAGCTCACGTCTCTCACTCGGATTTCGAGTCCGTCTACCTCTCGCAGATGTTCGAGTGCGTTTGTGCTCTCGCAGGGGCAGGAGTTAAGTTCGGATCGGAGCTTACCGAATCCCTCTGCGTTCTCTTCAGCTTCTCGTTGTCTGTCGTCCCGAGTTATGAAGGTGCCGCCTTGCTGAGGAGGCAACAGGTGGCGGACGTCTGCAGGACTCTGGCGCGCACCATTGGGACAGAAAATCAATCTGAAGTACTGAAGTTTTTTATTCTGTAACCTTTGCTGTGTTTGCCGTGTTTGCATCTTGCTTTTTACATTTGTTGTGTGCTTTGCAGTGTGCAGAAGGGTTCCTCCAAGCTGCACTTCAGGCTGAGAAAGCTACCGTGATGCAGAAGACAGGAGATGGAGAGACGCCCGCCAAGAGATCCCGCAAATCTGCCGACAGGTTGGTCACCAAAACGACAAAAACAACATCGATGAGAGTTAAGAAAAAACATCCTTTGGTCGGTTTCTGCGACTGAGTCTAGTTCGGAGCACATTCTCTGTGGAACTGAACTTTCTTGAATCATTTTTAACCATGGGAAAAAAATTTTAACGTCTGAAACCCGAGATCTTTACATTTCATCTCTTGACGCTGAGCAGATCCTCCTCTTGTAGGAGGAGTCACTTCTGTTTGGGGACACAGCTTGCTAACTTCAACAAAAATGATTTCAAAAGCCAAAACCAGACCAAAGGAACATTAATCTGAGGTTGTTTTAGAGCAGTTATGGTTTAAAAGCCCCATACTTCCACTCCCAAGTGTGTGGAAATGTGTTGGCAGAGTGAATTTAAAGTGAACTGCAGGCAACAAGTCTCCTGGAAAGACAGTGGAGCTCCCATCAGGATTACAACCTCCTAACTTAAGGCATTGTTTATGATAATTAAGCTGAGGTTAAGATGATCTGAAATTGAATTAAGTTCAGTTTTAACTTATTAAAGATTTAACTTGTTAACTTTTACAGTTAAATCAATATATATTTTATTTCAAAAGTAGCTTATCGGGGCATTAAATGTTCCACATTTTATGGTGATGTATATTTTAAAATACTTTTTGAGTGCAATGTTTTTGATAATCATGTCACAAAGCTCTGCGTAAAAGCTCTGCTTTACAGTTGTAGATTTTTTAATTCCAGCTGTTGAGTCATTTTGTGTCTTTGTGTGTTCAGCGAGCTGGACATGCGTGTCGGCAGTGAGGTTTGGGCCGCATTAAATCAACGTGTTGAGGAGCTGCTGACTGTTCTGAGCTCATCCTCTGCAGAACCAGAGAGCCTGCAGACCCTGTCCGCCCTGCAGGGTCTGGCCCTCATCCTGCACCTGGCAGTGCTGTGCTCCTCACCCCTCAGGTACCTGCCTTCAAACAGACCAAGATCTACTAGTGAGGAGTTGTAGCAGAAAGGTATAGAGTCACAGTTTTTTTTTTTTTTTTTTTTCGTCAACAGTTCCTGTCCTCTGGTCTGGGTTTCCACTGAGACTATGAGCCGGGTGCTGAAGAGCTGCCAGTCGGTGCTAGAAGGAGCATCTCGGCCCGTCTCTCATCAGGAATACTTTAAGTCTGCTTTTCAATCGACGATCACAGTTCTTGACTCTATTCTCTACCTGACATGTAAGAAGACACAAAAAAAAACTTTCTTTGAGGTTTTATTTATTTTTTATGAAAAGGAACGAATGTCTACTAAATACTAAAAAAAAAATTAATTTGTGCATCTAAAATTAAGGCCTTAAAATGTCTTGAATTCATTTAAAGAAATGTAGTGATAGTAGTTAAATTTTGTAGTGGCAGGAATATTTAATCACATATATTTTCCTCGCAGGATTTTCCATCAGACATATTTATTATGTTCCATGAATCAAGGTGGTGCAGGCTACCGCTAACTAGCTGCTAAAATACATTTGCTGGCTAGCCAGCCTGCCAGCTTTTTCCCCATCTTATTTCTTTTGTACATTTCTGTCATGATGCAGGTCTTGAATTTCATTCATAATGGTCTTAAAGTTGAATGCGTGAAACCTGCAGAAACCCTGGTATTCCCTCAGGTTTTTCTATCATATGTTTGCTAAAAAATGTGGTTTTAGTGACATTTCTTAAATTGCAACAGATTTTTGGTGATCATGTTATGTGACCATATGTATGCAGTGAACAGCCAGATTGAAAATGGGCTCCAGCGGCGTGTGTGTGCCCTGCTGTCTCTTCCTTGGGTGTGTGAGAACAAGTCTGCTTCGGCTTTTAAGAGTTCAGGGTTTCCTTCCTGGCTCTCCACTTTGGCTCAGAGACTCAGCTTCTGTTATTGTAAGTAATCCTGTCACATCTCAAGCCAGCAGATGAGAAAACATTCAGCTTTAGCTTCCAAAATGTGCAAAACATCCTCGTAATTGTGGAGTGTCTTCTAAATGTATTCTCTTACTTTTCAGGTTAAGGCTTGTGTACACATGTGTTGTAGGAATGTCAATCATTTTTAGAGCTGCTTTGCATGTATCTACATCTACAACCATGTATTTCAGTTTAACATCATTGCATAACATTGAACCCGACATGTGATTCCAGCACATAGAGTCCAGGCGGACTGTGTGTCGCTGCTGGCCTTTCTGCGCCGGGGCGTGTGCGACGGCTGGCGCGTTTGCATCTTCGGCGACGCGCTGCGGAGCCAGGGCGAGGCGGTGAGGGCCACGGCCGTCGAGGTCTTCCCCATTCTGCTTCATCACCTGGGACCCTCACACCACGACCTCATTGGCACCGCTCTGCCGTGCGTGAACTGCCACCGGCAAACGGGACATCCCCGTTCTCGCCGTTGTTACCGCCGTGGTTTGTGCTTCCGTTGGTAGTTTACATCGTGGCTTTTTTTTCTTCTTCTTTGTTGTAGGTCGCTGCTGGAGGATGAGTCAGAGCGGGTCAAGGTGGCGCTCGCCAGGATTGTTGGGCATCTCAGCTGCGTCCAGTTGGAGCTTTCCAAGCTTTGTGACTCCGACGTAGAGGCCACGTGTTCTTCCAAAGTCCTCTGCCTTCGCTGGAGTCTTGCAGCTCATCATGCTGGGAATAAAGCGCCATTCCTCAAAGCAGCCGTTGTTAAACCATTCATAGCTTTACTCAGACCTCAAACTGCCAGCTGTGTCAAACTAGGTAACTAAAAGTTTTATTTTGTTTTCTAAATGAGCTTTCACAGTGTTGTGAATTGCTTTCTTCACCCTCGACTCGACTTATTTCAGCGTTTCTGGAAGGCCTACCTCACCTCTGCCAGCACGTCAACCTGCTCGGTGCGGACAGCGACTCCCGCACCATTCTCTGCGCCCTGATCGGCCTGATCGAGGACTCCGATCCCGCCGTTAGGACGCGTTTTAGCCAATCCGTGCGTTTCCTGCTGACGGAGTCCACGAGGCACTCGGAGCAGGATACGCTGAGCGAGGTGAGACATTTCAGCAGTTAAACGCAGCGCTTTTAAAGTCACACGGAGGCTGACCACTTGTTGCGGGTTCTCGTTGCCGCTGCAGCTGCTGGTTGCGCGTCTTAAGGAGGCGTTCAGCAACGCCAAAGCCAGCAGAGACGACGACCTGCGAAAGACACTCATCCTCACCACAGGAGAAATCGGCAGGTAAAACAATTGAACGTCAGTTTTTACAACTTAAAATTCAAAATAATCTTCTTGGATTTTTTTTCAAATCAATAAACTAAATACACAATATATGAATTAAACATGGTGCCAATTAAACACGGTGCTATTTTTGTCATCAGTTTATTCAGTCTAGAAAATTATTTAGTTTGTTCCCAAGTTTAATTGAAGAATTAATGTGCTCTGGTTTTTTGTTTTGTTTTTGTTTGAGTTGCTGGATTATTTTTAGCCCTGCTTACAATCAAATTCAAGTTAAAAGAAAAACATTTCAGACCACTGAAATTCTCATGCTAAAAAAGTGATCTAAAAAAAGAAGCTCACTGGAGGGCCAAATTTGTATCACGGGACCTCACAACATTGTTCCAGGGGCCACAAATTGGTCCCCAGACCACACTTTTTAAACCCCTAGTCTGAGCAAAAAGGTGAATTTAATTTAAGGTACTGAATTTTTTTTCTCCCACGTTTTTATAGACAGTTGAGGAGATCTGCTGCATGTAAATGTTAAATGGTCTTTTCCTTTTCTCGTTAGGGCTTCTCAGGGCAGTCTGGTGTCCTTCTCCCTGCTGCGTCTGCTCCACTGTCTCCTGTCCAAGTCGGCCACTGTGTCCATTGATGCTTACACTCAGATCAGAGCGCTGGCGGCTGCTAAAGAGCTGAAGCTGCAGACCCTGTTCAGCCAGTATAAGAACCCCATCTGCCAGGTAGATAATTTGCCAATCTGTGGATCTGTACCTGCATTTAGTGGCATTGTTTTTTCTTTTGCATATATATAAAATTGCAACACCTTGAAAGATTTAATTAAAGCAGAAAAAAACTGTGATTGATGATTTTATCTGACCTTTTTAGTACAGATTAAATGTAATAAAATAGCAATCTAAACTAGATATAAACTGGCTTTTTTTTTTCTTTGATAGATTCAGAAAGCTAGATAACTGGAGAAATTGTGGACGGCATCTTTCTGTTTGTGGCTCGTGTTTTCAGTTTCTGGTGGAGTCGCTGCATTCGCGCCACGCCTCCGCCCTGCGGAGCACGCCCGACCAGACCAGCGAATCGGCCACTCAGAGAGAGCTGGCTTTGGACATTCTGGCTCAAATCGCGCATGCTTTCGACTTCCCGGACCTCCACCGCTTCCTCACCGTACGCTCAGACAGAACTTCTCTTTCCCCCAGAAGCGGCATCTTTTTCACGCCACTGAAACGCGCGCTGTCTCGCACATCTGTGTCCGCAGCGAACGCTCCAGGTGCTGCTGCCGTACCTGGCAGCCAAGGCGAGCTCCACAGGCTCCGCCCTCATCCGCGCGCTTGCTATCGAGCTAAAGGCGAACAGGAGAGAGATTCTGATCAACAATTTCAAGTACATCTTCAGTCATCTGGTTTGCTCCTGCACCAAGGAGGAGCTGGAGAGAGCATTTCACTATCTACAGGTTTTTTTTTTGTTAATATTAATCAATTAATTGCATTATAAAGCAAAAGGAACTCAATGATTTCCATTCTGATGAGTAATATTTTTTTTGTTTTCAGGTTCATCATGATTTGTTTTGTTTATGGCTTCAGTTGTGTGTGGTTTTTATTATTCTGTCTCACTTATTGTTTCAGGTTGTCGTGTTTTATTTTGGGCGTATGAAATATCTTCCAGTTCTAGTTGGAAATGTTATTTACAGGGCTGGACACTAAATCTGTACCAGTATATATCGCGATAAACCTGTGAACAATATCAATAGATAATACATCTGAACGGCACAGCATTCTGGGAGATGTAGGCGAGGAAAAGCTGTAGCTGCTCAACCTCTTGCAGCGTTAAATGACAAAGTCAAATTGATTTAGTCATATTTTATACATATATATGTATATACAACATTTTTATAACAACTGAAGTTAACACAGTTATTTAGTTGTGCTATAAAGTGATAATATTTGGCTGTGAAACACATCACATGGAAAATGTGAGTCGTTTTCCGTCTTAGAGTGAGACGGAGATTGAGCTGGGTTCCCTGCTCAGACAGGACTTCCAGGGTCTCCACAACGAGCTGCTGCTTCGTCTGGGGGAACACTACCAGCAGGTGGGCAGAAAACCTGAACCACCTTTTTTTTTTGTTGTTGTAATTTCTCTGCCGTTTATTGACTTATTCAGTGATGAAAATCAATTCTTTGTAGGTTTTCAACGGTTTAGCCATCTTGGCCTCCTTTGCATCCAACGATGATCCATACCAGGGTCCTAGAGACATCACCACTCCGGAGCACATGGTCCACATCCTTTTCTTCTCAGTTTGTGATATGATCGACATTCCACCTAAATGTGACTTTGCTGTGTTTCAGGCTGACTACCTGCAGCCCAAGCTGCTGGGGATTCTTGCTTTCTTCAACATGCAGCTGCTCAGCTCCAGCGCAGGGGAGAAGGACCGCAAGAAAATGGTGAGTCGTCCTCGGCCGAGTGCCGGTCGCAGCCGCAGCATTCCAGCCCCGTCCGCTTCGACACATCTGCTTTTGCGCGTGTCCTTGCGGCCAGGCTTTGACGAGCGTGATGGCTCTGATGCGCCTGATGGGATCCAAGCACATCAGCTCCGTCAGGGTGAAGATGATGACGACGCTTCGCACGGGCCTGCGTTACAGAGAGGACTTCCCTCTGCTCTGCTGCCAGTTAGTACCTGCCTCTTCCCCGTGAAGTCGTCTCCTAAACGAGTTTTGGTGAAAAGAAAAAGTTGAAAGATTGCACTTCCTTGTTGCAGGACGTGGGAGTGTTTTGTGAGGAGTGTGGAGCCCTCCCACCTCGGGCCTCTCTTGAGTCATGTTATTGTTGCCCTGCTGCCCTTGATCCCCCTGCGGCCCAGAGAGACCGCCGCTATCATTCGCTTCCTCATCCTGGACAACAGGTGACGTTAAAAACAAAAAAAAACAAAAAGAATGCATCAATATGAATAAGATTGAAAATCAAGAGTTTAATTGAACTCTTGATTTTGGTAAAGCTTGCTTGGGACTTGATGTTTGCATATCGAGAGACAGAAATTTGGCCCAATTCTCTTTATAAAATTCCTCATGTTCATGCAGACTGGATGGAAAGTGTCTGTAAAGCTTTCTAGGCTTGAATAATGAGTATTCTATTTTTAAAACGTTCTGCTGCATCTCAGTGTGTTTAGAGACATTTTCATCCTGGAATAGAAAAATCCGTCATAGCAAAGTGAAAACTTTCGGACAGCTCTAGATGATTACAGAATGATCCCTACTGAGACCGCGCTTCTCTCAATCTCTTACAGGGACGAAGTAAACGACTACCTTCACGAGATTTACTTTCTGCCCGAGCATCCGGAGCTCAAAGACATCCACACGGTTCTGCAAAATTACAAAAAGGTTTGTGACGATGAAGGGTCGAGAGGGAAAAATACTCCTAAAGACAGGAAATGACATGACCAAGAATTTGCTTTTGGTTCGTTCAGCTGACGGCCAGCAGCAGCGACCTGGCCTCCGCTCTGCAGCTGTCGATGAGAGCCGTTCAGCATGAGAACGTGGATGTGAGGATCCACGCTCTGACCAGCCTCAGGGACATGATGCACAGCAAGCAGGTGCTATGAAACACCAAACAAGGACTAATAGGTTACGGTAGTGTTTGGAGTTCTCTGCAAAGAAAAGTGAGCTAATGCTATAAGCTGACGGCGTTTTTGATACCATTTGTGACATTAGTGCAGTCAAATTTAATGTTAATTATTTATGAGGGTTTTTCTACGTTATGTGCAGAGCTGGGGAGAAACTAGTTACATTTCTTTAATTACATTTTACGTCAGTACCGTAACTTTTTCTTTAAAAATGCACTTTTAGGAGTATTTTTACTACGCTCTACTTTTTACTTTTACTTGAGTAATCTTATGATGAGGTTTTTCCAAGGAAACTTGCTAAGCCGGGTGGTCGGGTCGCAGGGGCAGTCGTTGATCGGTTCATTGCTGTGTTTTTGTGTTAAAAAATATTAAAAATTGACAGGAAATTTCAAAATATCACTTGATATTCATATGTTATTGGAAAACTGGAAGATTCATACCTAAACATAAGCTATTAAGTCTTTTAAAAGAAGGCAGTCATTAAAATAAGTAATCACTGCTTTGCCTGATGGGGGCACAAGAAAAGCCTGGTGGCCCGCCAGGCTTATAATACACTGAGAGAAACCCTGAGTATTGCTACTGTTACTTGAGTAAACTTTCTGGAGACTTGTGAGTAAATTCACTGAACGAAGAGCAAGCTTATTTTCACCAAACATTCATCAGACACAGACCCACACCTGCAGTTTTTGTTTCATAAGTTTTTTTTATTGAAAGAGATTGATTCGTAAAAATGTTCATTTTGCCTGATTTTGTTCATTCTTTGCTACTTGAATATAAATTATTGTCATTTGTTTCCCATTAATGTACCAACATTTCCACTTAATGTTATATTTTGGTCTGTCTGGTCATGTCATTTTTAAATACGAATTGATTGATCATTTGGTCAGTTACTCAGTACTTGAGTAGATTTTTTTTTATTTTTTACCAAAGTACTTCTTTTACTCCCACCTGAATAATTTCTCAGATGACTACTTTTTTCTTTTGGGTAAAAACATGTTGATGTAGTTCTACTCTTACTTGAGTAAAATTTTTGGGGGACTCTACCCGCCTCCGGTTGTGTGTTTCAGGAGTGGCTGCTGCAGCAGGTGTGTGCCAGCGAGGCGGTGGAGCCTGTCATCTCCAGCCTGGTGTCCGTGCTGCTGAAGGGCTGCCAGGACTCGTCCCCCGAGGCCCGGCTCCTCTGCGGGGAGTGTCTGGGAGAGCTGGGGGCCGTGGATCCTGGACGCCTGGATCTGTCCCACGCACACTCCAAGGGCGACCGCAACACCTTCGTGGCAAGTTAACGTTGAACTCTTGTTCTCTTTTTTGACTGAATACGATGTAAAACAAAAGAAATATCAATTAACTAGTTGCAAATACTTAATTATTTTACAAACACGTCTAAAAGTAAAATGTTGCTTCATGTTTGTCCTTTTTCGCCCATTTTTACTTAGGAAGAAAAAATTACCCTAATCTCTTAATACTATTGTAGAAAAAGTATTTCCTAATAAATTTCTGATACAACAACTTTCTGAAAGCACAACATTTCTTTCTTCCTGTCAACAGAGCGGAGTAGATGATCCCAACTTTGCCCATGACCTGCTGACTGAGCTCACCAGAACATTCCTGGCCTACGCTGATAACGTGCGAGCTCAGGACTCCGCTGCGTATGCCATACAGGTACGCAAAATGCGTCCAAACACAAAAAATATCATACAAATTCTCATGATTGTTCTGTTTTACTTATTTGAGTTTTCTAACTCGATGATCGGTTGTTCGCCGCAGGAGCTGCTGTCCATTTTTGAGTGTCGCGAGGGGAGAACTGACTCAGCGGGCCGTCGCTTGTGGAGGAGATTCCCAGAACAGATCCAAGAAATCCTGGAGCCTCACCTCAACAGCAGGTCGAAATCTCTTCCACAGAAGAGTTGGAAAAAAAAATTTTTTATTACTGTTATGTAATCCACAGTATTTTGATGACCCTTCCTATGCTTTCTTGCAGATATAAGAGCAGTCAGAAGGAGGTGAATTGGTCCAAAGTGAAGAAGCCAGTGTACCTTAGCAGCCGAGGCAGCAAGTTTTCTGACTGGTCTGCCACCTGGGCTGGATACCTCATCAGCAAGGTTAGCCGATTCTTCAACACAGTCAAACTGTCCTCTTCCTAATCTGTACGCAGGTGGGTTTTTTTTTTAGAAGTCTTAACGTGTGGTTCTCCATCCAGGTGAGACACGAGCTGGCCAGCAAGGTCTTCAAGTGCTGCAGCTTCATCATCAAACACGACTACAAAGTCACCATCTACCTGCTGCCTCACATCCTGCTCTACATGCTGCTGGGCTGCACACCTGCAGAGCAGCAGGAGGTCAGGGTTTCTCTCCCCTCCAGCATAGCTCGGTGTGGCGCTGCGTCGTTTTCCACTCATGCGCTGGTCGTTTTGTCTCAAAGGTGACGGAGGAGATGCTGGCCGTGCTGACCGAGGGCGACGGACGAGGAGGGGGCGGAGTCCAGGAGGCAGCCTCCAGCCTATCACAGCTCAGCACTCAGACTGTGTTCAGCATGCTGTCACACCTCACACAGTGGAGCCGCCACATCCTTTACGCCAAACCCAAAGTCACAGGTAATGGTCAGGTTTCAGGCGGGTCCCTGAAATCCTTGAAAATGCTTGAATTTCAGCTAAGTGTTTGTCAAGGTTTGGAAAGTGCTTGGTATTAAATTGCAGTTTTGTAATACTGCAATTTGTAATACTTTGCTTGGTATTAAATTGCAATCTAACATTTGAACTAAAGCCTAAATGTGAATTATTTGCAGTTGGGAAAAGATATTTTCATGCACTTAGTAAACAGGGTTTTTTCTCACTGTCTAAAGTTCAGTCAGACTAAAGTTTCCGTGTTATAGTTTAGTCACAATCACCAGAATTATTTCTACTCGCTAAATTCAAGAAAACTTTGCAAGACTTTTTTTTTTTTGTAACTTTCTTTCTATATTGTCTTCAGGCATTTAATTTAAGCAAAAAGGTTATTTACCTTAACACAATTTGATTGGATTGTTTTGATGTGATGCATATTTTTTACTCATAATGTCTCAATGACTTATAGATCTGGTTTAAAATTTTATACCGTAAACAAAGTTACAGATTTCTTTTTTTAGTTCACTTTAGTGTTTTGTTCTCTGACTAGTCAGGTGTGTTTTAGAGACATTTCAGATCATAAAATTAAATTATATTTCAATTTACTTTGTCCTTCTTCAAGGTAGAATGAATAATACTACAATAAAATATTATTACTGACAGTAACATATAATATTATATTATAGTGAATTTAAACTGTGCTTTTTAGTTAATTCATGAGTTAAATTTTAGTTAAATTTATGAAAAGTACTTGAATTTTGCTGAGGAAATTGTGTGTGAACCCTGAATAGTGGTTGCTACTTAACTTAAATCACTTATTACTCTACTAAATGTGGTTATTAATATAAAATGTGAACTTTTTGTCCTGCAGAAAGGGGTGATTATGACCGTGTGGTGGCCTTCCTGAAGGGTATCCCACAGGACGTGCTTGCTAAGGCCTCCCTGCGGTCCAAGGCGTACACTCGAGCCCTCATGCACTTCGAAGCGTACATCCTGGAGAACAAGGAGAACATCCAGGACCACCTCAGCTTCCTGCAGGTCAGGCCGGTTCTGTGAGATCGGCTGAAGCCGGTGTTCAATGTGAATCTCAGCGTCGTGACGAATTCCTGCCCGTTCCAGACGCTGTACGCGGCGATGCACGAGCCTGACGGAGTGAGGGGAGTCAACGCTCTGAGGAGGGAAGAGCCGTCGCTTCAGGAACAGATACTCGAACATGAGAGCATTGGTTTGCTGCGAGATGCGACGGCTTGTTACGACCGGGCCATACAGCTGGAGTCAGACCAGGTTCTCACCCGCAGATTCCTTCTTCACATTTACTCACTCTACAACAACAACCTTCTATGTAATGTATTGGGATTTTATGTGATAGACCAAAAAAACGTGGCATTGATGAACAAAGAGCTAAATAATAAATAATACAGATCAGGAAATACAACAGCCTGGTCAGAAATGAAGTTGTTTAGAAGTCTAATCTAGACTTTTGACAAATTTTGCTGGATGATAAATTAGATGATAATATTGTTCTTTTGCGATAATTTTGATATCACAATAATGCAGGTTCGCTCGCTCAAAGACCAATAAATGATCATTTTGTCAAGAGCTCTTAACACTTGATGTTGACCGAAAGCTTTATTACAATATTATACTGTAAGTAGCATCACAATATTTTGTGATTTTATTGTGAAAATGATAAAAGTGACAATAAAATCTATTTCTTTCGTTTTAGGCAACAGCATGACTATATGACACTTGCTATGATTACTGTCACAGTGATGAGAGGTTTTGTGGGACTTTGAACATACGATATGATAAATGGCCACCCCTACTTAACACTTGAACTGGAAGATATTTTCAATGTCCAAAAGAAAAAACAACCAAATTCAATATACAAAACGGAAATGAAAACCAGATCTAAATAAAATTGATTATGACGACTCTGTAAACAAAACTTCCCTTTAAAAACTATGAATAATCAGAATTAAAAAGATCAAGCTCATTTTAATTTATCATACGATTAATTAGTTGTCTATAGTCTAATTTCATTTCTAAAACGATATCCTTTGCTTTGAACATTTTATGCAACAAACACGAGTGTTCAAGAGACAATTTGTTACTCTGGAGGAGCTGCAGTCATCGTGTCGTTCGGCAAGATGCCGGATAAACCCTTGATTGGTTTGTCAGGGCAACACAAAAACAGAGCAAACGACGACGCGTCTGTTCATAGCTTTTCTTTTTTTTAACAAGCTCTAAATGATACATTTTTCAGACGTACTACAATACATCTATAATAGTAAAAAATTCACCGATATTTTCTAGATCGGTCACTATCATGGAGTGATGATCTCTATGCTCGGCCTGGGGCAGCTGTCCACCGTCATCACGCAGGTTAACGGAGTACTAGCCAATAAGTAAGACACTTGCAGCCTACTTTGCTCTCATCATTACTGCAGCCTGATTTAAGCTCAACTTGCTTCCCTTTTTCCACGTTCAGGCAGCAGTGGAAGTCAGAGCTGAACACCTACAGAGTGGAGGCCGCCTGGAAGCTTGGGAAGTGGGATCTGTTGGAAGATTATTTGAGTTCAGGTTAGAAAAAAAAGTATAAAGGTCTTTCCACTTTAGTAGATATGAACCAGTTCTAATTGTATTTGTTTAATCTGCCAATAACAACGCGGCCCCTGCAGACCAGCAGTCGTGCACTTGGGGCGTGCGGCTCGGCCAGCTGCTGCTGTCGGCGAAGAAGCAGGATGCGGAGAGTTTCTACGAGAAGCTGAAGCTGGTGCGGAAAGAGCAGGTGGTCCCGCTGTCCGCCGCCAGCTACGAGTGTGGGACCTACCAACGGGGATACGAGTACATCGTCAGGTCTGGCCTTCAGCTTCAGCAGCAGCTTTGGCTTCTTCCTCGTGACTCTAAAACGCGTCCACCTGTGTGCGTAGGCTCCACATGCTCAGCGAGCTGGAGCACGCGTTCACCGAGCTGCGGGGCGCTGGAGACGGCTCCGCCCCCAGCCTCACCAAGCTGCCTCCTCATTGGTCCGACCGCCTGGAGATGACCCAGAATTCCTTCAGGGCCAAGGAGCCGATCCTGGCCATGCGGCGAGCCCTGCTGAGCCTCAGACCACAGTAAGGAGACAGAAGTTTGTTCACGCACTGTTGTGATGGTCGCTAAATTATTAAATTATGAAAACGGCCTCCAAAGTTCAGTTTTGTGCTTTATGACGAAAACAGCCTTTCTAAGATGTAACAGGCTTAAAACAATCTCTGTGTGTTGTATCTTCGGTAGATGAAAATGAATTTATTAAACCTTCAGCTCTGTTTTTGATATTGCTTCAGATATTAGATTGCTGGTGCAAAACTAATGTTTAGTACCCACTAATGTTTAGACCGTCAACTAGTGATTACTTTAGAAATTGATTATTAAATCAGTTATTCTCACGATTTAGAAGGAAAAATATTGGAATTGTTCAAATGTTTTATTTAACCACTTATTTTATATAAACTTTTTCTTGTATAATATTAGAAATACGTTTAAAAATGCAAATAAGCAAGCAATTTGGATAAAATAAAAACGGCATTGCCGAAAATGCAGTAGCATAGCATTGCTTTCGTACACTCTTGATCATTTGCTGTAAAGGATGTGTCTGCAGCTAAAAAATACGTCTTAACATCAACATGTGAAAAATTCTGACCTTTCTGCCTGATTTAACATCAGTACAGTGTACGGATGGTTTGTTATGTTTTTTTGATCAAGCAATTAATTGTAGAATAGCAAAATGTGCTGAATAAAATGAATTGTTGCAGAGTTTAAACCAAGCGAAAGAGGAGAAAGAGGAGTTCTGAGAAGAAAAGGTTTACAGAAAATTAAGGTTTTTCATCATAAATGCTAGATATACCTTTTTTGAGGGGGGAGTTTTGGCTTAAGTACTGCTCTGAGTATATTATTTTAGCAGTCTGTAAATGGTTATTCAGTTGCTGAATTAGTTATTTCAATAATCGATTAATCACAATTAATACAATTAATTGTTTCAGCCCTACATAAAACAGGGTATTAGAGCCTCTTTAGATTGTCGTTCAAAACAGTAAATGCCACCATGGTTAAAACGTTTCCTAAGCTAATTGATTTGAGTTTGTTGATCTCTGAGCAGCGATCGCCGTGGTTGTGTCCTCTAGGCCCGTGTGTCAGGAGCTGGTGGGCGAGTGCTGGCTGCAGAGCGCCCGGGTCGCCAGGAAGGCTGGGCACCACCAGACGGCCTTCAACGCTCTGCTCAACGCAGACAACACCAACCTGGCTGAGCTGGTCACGGAGAAGGCCAAGTGGCTCTGGTCCAAGGTACTGCCGACCCGTGAAAAATAGCGAAAGTTCAGTCAGGTTTCAAGGTTTCTCAGACATTAGTTTTCTTTGCTCTAATTCAGTCCACAGCAGCTCTGACTGTATTTAAGGTTGTTGTGTGTTTTGTTTTGGGTTTTTTTTATTCTTGATATTGCCGTTTTTTTCAACCAACTCTGCAACCGGAAAACCCCTCTGTGTGTGCCTGTGGTCAGGGCGACGTGCACCAGGCGCTGATCGTCCTGCAGAAGGGCGTGGCCCAGTGTTTTCCTGATGACCAGCTGCTGACCGAGCCTCGCAGCCTGCAGATCAAAGGGAAGGCCATGCTGCTGGTGGGACGCTTCATGGAAGAGACGGCAAACTTCGAGTCCAACGCCATCATGAAGGCGTACAAGGTTTTACCTCGTATCTTTTATTTGTGGAGTTTATTATGTTCACAAATAGATAAACGTATTATTAGCAACTACAATGATAGTTGATTTAATTTCTTAATCTATTTGCTTTTCACCTTCAACTGGTTTATTTATTTGGTCTGCAGGATGTGACCAACCTCCTCCCAGAATGGGAGGATGGGAACTTCTACCTAGCAAAGTACTATGATAAAGTGATGCCAATGGTGACAGATAACAAGCTGGAGAAACAGGGGAACCTCATCCGATACATCGTCACCTTCTTTGGAAAGTAGGTTCTCGTTCTTTCTGCATATTAATATCCTTCAAACTGGCGTCTGACGGTATAACTCATTTCCTGTCAGAGCCCTGCAGTTTGGGAACCAGTACATCTACCAGGCGATGCCTCGCATGCTCTCCCTCTGGTTGGATTTCGGAGCTAAAGTGTGCGACTGTGAGAAAGGTAAGTAGGTAAGGCCAGAGAGCACAGGGCCGGTCGGACTGGAAACGGTTCCCCGACGTTCGTGTCCGTCCTCCACAGCCGGACGAGCCGACCGACAGATGCGACAGGAGCTCGTGAAAATCAACGCAGTGGTCGAGGAGCATTGCTCCAACTTGGCGCCCTACCAGTTCCTCACCGCCTTCTCCCAGCTCATCTCCAGGGTGTGTCACTCCAGCGACGAGGTCTTCAAGGTTCTCATGAAAATCGTGGCCAAAGTGTTCCTCGCGTACCCGCAGCAAGCCATGTGGCTGATGACCGCTGTCTCCAAGGTTGGCTGGTGTTTTGCGTGTTTTCCGTTTTCCCTTCAACTATCTCAGTTTCACTCAGATGCTGTCATTTGTAATTGGAAACCTGCTTAGCTCCTTAGTGTTAGCATACATGCATTTTATCCTGGCTAAAATAATCGGACATACAGTTGTGGATAGACGTTTTGAGAGTGAGTGAGAATGTTATTTTCCCCTAAACTTTCCTGCTGAAGTCCTGTTGGTTCCATATGTAGATGAATCTGCTGGAAGTACAGCAGTAAAAAATGGGTTTTAAACATATTGAATTACAAAATACTTTAAGTATCAATATTTACAGTGTGAGTGTAGAGAATATCAACATCTCAGTGATTTTATTCAATCTGAGAGTGTGAAATAGTGTCTGACTGAAATAGTGTATTTCCCATTCCAATATGTAAATGACATTTCTTTCTTAGTCTGTTGTTTTCTTTCCTTCTTTCATCTTTTTTCCTTCTCTTCCTTTTGTTCTTTCTTACTTTCTTTCCATTTATGTGTTCTTCATTGTTTCCTCAGGTTCTATGCCTCTCTTCCTTCCTCTCGTTCCTTTTATTTTAATTCAAATTCAAATCAAAAATACTTCTCTTGTTGCCAGAGGGAAATTAAATGTTTTTGTAACTCAAGTTATACAGATATTCCTTCTTCCCTGTTTTGCTCCTTGGTCTGGGCTGGTTGGTATCTCCTGTTTGTTTACTTTTCCTTTTTTTTTTTTTTTTTTCCTGGTACATTGCTGCTGTTGTTGTTTGAACAGCAACTCTATTTAATTGCCTGCCCATGTGTGCCTTTTGTGTTTCAGTCTTCTTACCCCATGCGCATGAACCGCTGCAATCAGATTCTTAAGAGCGCCATCAGTCTTAAAAAGCCTCTGGAGAAATTCATTGGAGACGCGAACAGACTCACCGATAAGCTGCTGGAGCTCTGCAACAAGCCGGTAAAAATGTCCTCACAGGATGTAAAAAATTAGGGCTAATGAGATTACACCTGATTTAAGGGATCGCTGAACGTAAGAGGAAAATTAAGACGATTTGATTAACTGTGTGTTTTCATTACCCTAAAAGAGGGGGGGAAAAGTTTCTTACTTTGTAAAATACAGTTTTGTTTGATCGCGTCGCTCATTCAGGTGGACGGTAACAGCACCACCCTCAGCATGGGCGTTCACTTCAAGCAGCTGAAGCGGCTGGTGGAGGAGTCCACCTTCAGCCAGATCCTCATCCCGCTGCAGTCTGTCCTCATCCCCACGCTGCCCTCTACTGGCGGGGCGAACACAAAGCATGACGCCTTCCCCGGACAATGGGCGTACCTGGACGGCTTTGAAGACGGCGTAAGTAGGAGAGATGGGGTCTGAATTTCGCTACCCAACATTTATAATGTAGGAATATGATGTAGATAAATTTCAGTTTTAGAAAAGTGGGCAAATCAAAATGTGTAAAAATGTTTGTATTACCAGACTGTTGAGTAAAAAGTCACATCCTGATATGCTTAGATTTTTGGACATTTGAGTCTAGAATAATGTTATTTTTTTATCCTAACTGATCTATTTGCATGTCTTCGTATAAGGTGGAGATTTTAGCCTCGTTGCAGAAGCCCAAAAAGATAAGTCTGAAGGGCTCAGATGGTCGGAGCTACACCATGATGTGTAAACCTAAAGATGATCTAAGAAAAGACTGCCGCCTCATGGAGTTCAACTGTCTCATCAACAAGGTTGTGTGTCTGACTGATAAACACGTTTTCTGGTAACGACGCGGCCCTCCTCACCGTAGCGCTTTCTGCGAGCAGTGTCTCCGTAAGGACGCCGAGTCGAGGCGCAGGGAGCTGCACATCCGCACCTACGCCGTGATCCCACTCAACGAGGAGTGCGGCATCATCGAGTGGGTCAGCAACACCGCTGGGCTGCGATACATCCTCACCAAGCTGTACAAAGAGAGAGGTATTTATTTTCTTGTCAGCTGCCGTTCAAAGGCATCCATGCCTCTTGTTTACGTTTTAACGTGGCGGAACTATGACAAGCTTCATTTTACGTTACTGGTGTTTTATGTGTTGAACCAGCATGAAGTAGAGCATAATAGTGGAGTCGAAGGACCGATGCACATCCGTAGAAAACTGAGGGATTTAGGACAAAGTTAGTAAATACTTCATTTGTGATTTCACTTTAGTATTAAAAACACATCTGTTGTCTTAATGGCTATTGAACGTTTTCTGTGAATAATTTGGAGTTACACTCCACAGCAAAATTGTTGAAATTGTTCATTGACGTATGGGCAGTAACTGCAAATCGTCCCCACAGTTTTTAATCTCTTTTTTTTTTCCCTAGAATATTTGGGGAAAATATTTCTGAATGCGTGAAAAGTTGAAAGGTTTTGTAAGGCATTGTAGAGTTTGTGGGTCCAAGTGGGAAAGATTTGTAGACTGGAATAGCTGAAGAGATTTTGACTATGTATTTCTCCAGGCATCCACCTGTCGGGTAAAGAGCTGAGGAAGCTTATTTTACCCAAAACGGCTGCTTTTGAGGAAAAACTACGAATCCACAAGGAGGTGCTCTGCGCTCAGCATCCGCCCGTCTTCTATGAGTGGTTCCTCCAAACTTTTCCTGACCCTGAATCATGGTATGCCACTACTCCACTGCATGAGCACGGAGGACAATAGTACAAGCAGGAATGTTGATTAGGTTGAAATGTATACACGTGTTCACTTTTCATTTCTGTTTTTTTTTCTTTTCTTTTCTTTTCCAATGTTCACACCCAGGTACAGCAGTCGCTCTGCATACTGCCGTTCCACTGCTGTGATGTCCATGGTCGGCTACATCCTGGGACTTGGCGATCGCCATGGAGAAAACATCCTCTTTGACTCTTTCACTGGGGAATGTGTCCACGTTGACTTCAACTGCCTCTTTAACAAGGTTAGTCACTCAGATTAGAGGTATCGACACTTATTTGAGGAACTCGATCTGCTGTGTGATTTGGTCCCTTTTCCCTCCCATTTGCTTTATATGTGCCGTTCTCTTTGTGTCCACCAGGGGGAGACATTTGACGTGCCCGAGGTAGTTCCTTTCCGACTTACCCAAAACATGGTCCATGCTATGGGGCCAATGGGTACTGAGGGTTTATTTAGACAGGCCTGTGAGGTCACGCTTCGACTGATGCGAGACCAGAGAGAGCCACTCATGAGGTAGACACAGTTTAATACACTGTGATTGTCAAAAACTTGTTTTTCTTTAGTGTCCATATTCAAAAATAGCACTTCCATCATATAATTGTTTGCTATTACTCCTTAAGTGTGCTGAAGACCTTCCTTCACGACCCGCTGGTGGAGTGGAGCAAACCATCCAAAGGACTGGTGAAAACCCAGGCCAATGAGACAGGCGAGATAGTTAATGAAAAGGTTTGTTTGGGTTTTTTTTTTTGTGGATTTTGTTTATAGGTCTTACACAAATGATTTGTTTCTGCTTCAAGCTGTTAATTTCTACCCTATCTGTCACTTCCAGGCCAAAACACACGTGTGTGACATCGAGCAGCGTCTCCAGGGGGTGATAAAGAGCAGAAATAAAGTGCTTGGCCTCCCTCTGTCAATAGAGGGACATGTGCACTACCTCATCCAGGAAGCCACAGATGACAAAATGCTCTGTCAGATGTATTTGGGCTGGGGTCCATACCTGTAGAAAGATAGATACATGTTACGTTAATCATCATAAAGCACTTTTTGAGTAAAGTTTCAGTTTGGCTGAAGTTCCTGATTTTTTTATTTTTATTTTATAAACGGTTTGGATTGTATGTGCTGTTTGTAATAAAGAGATCGTCTGTTGGTTAGTGTGATTGAGTGCGTCTTTTAATCTTTTAACCCTCCTTAGCTCCTCTGATGCACCTCAGACTGTCAGCTGATTGAGTTTAATCCTCCCTTCTCTGATTCTGACCTGCTAACGTTCAGAGGTTCAAGAAAATTCGGCTCAACCACCGCTGCGGAGTAAGGTTGCATGCTGAAATTTCGTTTGCGGAGCAGGCTCTTTCGTTGTGCCATTATGGGTTCAGACACTCAGAGAGTCGCTGTATTTGTGATTATTGTGTTTCTTCTTTTAGTTAACTCGTGGCTGTTTTTGCAATTCACTTTGAAATAGAAGCCATAAGGTATTTTTGTGTTTAATAGCTGTTGGTTTACATTTTGTTTCTCCTTTTCTTTTTTTAATAGGTCAAAAAATTTTAAAATTTATGGTGTTTATTCTGTATTTCATTAGTAATTTTACATGTGTAAAAGCGCAACATTTTGTGGAGAGATTATGCTTTTATTGTGTACTTGAACAGGAAGGTTCATCTTTCAAGTCATTGCATTTTCGTTGTGTTTACTTTGACGTAAACAGCTTAGCGCATGCTAATGTCCATCATGGTACGTCATTTGTCATTTTAACGGCTGTCCGAAGCATTCATTTAAGTTATCCTGAACATTAATGAAACAACAGCGTCCTTGAGAGACGCAAATTAAAAGCCTGACGTTACAGCGACGCCAGTCAATTTCCTGAGCGTCCTTTATTGACCCTTAGGAGACGAGTGGATAATAGGTCAGTACTGACGAGCAGGCGCGTGCGGAGCTTCTTAACGTCTCCGACGTTGTATGGCAAGCTGTTAAAAACAATAATAGCCCGTGCGTTAACGTGTTGTAAATACCCGGTTGCGACGTTTTTTCTCGCAGCCAGGCTGAGAATCTCAACAGCCTGCCGTGATTGCAAAGGTGTTAGCCTGGCTGAGGCGATGCGTGGGTCAGCTGGTGGCTCTCGGGAGGTGAGCATTTGGTTTAGTAACCTGCGTTAGCTCGGTAACCCTCCGCTGCCGTCGTCTCGTGGACCTTGAGGACTCCGTCATGGACCTGACGCGGCTGGCTGTGGATGCTGGCCAGTTCATCAACCGAGCTGTTCAGGTAAATCAGGAGACACGGCGCTCTGCGTGTCCACCTGCTCCATTAAAATGAACTGGAGTCTCCCATAAGGATGTTTTGTCATATCGCTCCAGTACACCGGAGAGAGCCTCGGCCGGGCGGACAGGACCGAGCTGGACGGCGGGCTGGAGGAGCTGCTGGCTCGGGCGGACGCCACCAAGACCTGGACGGACTCCATCATTTCTCAAACCGAGGTGCTACTGCAACCGAGTCCAGGTGAGAAATGATGCATTTATTGTGTGGGATAGTTAGAACAGTGGCGGTCCTATCAAGAAGGGCCAACCTCTCTGATTTCATACTTCCACCAACTTAAAGATACCCCCTCTCACAATGAACCAAAAAAAAAAAAACAGACCTGCTAACTTAATTGTCCTGTATATGGAAGTGAGCTCAGCAACATAAATCAGGAAACAAAAAAAAGTGTTAGATGAATCAGGGTTTCCCCAAGAAATCGGTGGTATATAATATATATTATTAAGTGGCCAGTATATATTATGTATATATATATATATATGAAAGTCGCTCAGATGGTTTTTCAGGGAGATGGGACCATAAATGCATCATTCAAATTTGAGTTATGATGACAAAGTATATAAGATTCATCACTTTGTTTAATGAAAAAGGAAATCTGCCTGATCATTAAAAAAAACAAAAAAACAAAAAAAAACATGTTTGATGCAAATAACTAAACGGCTAATAGTAATATGTTCACTTCATAAAAAATTGAGCAAAATTACTCACCTTTTCTTTGATAACGTGTCGGGAAAAGAAAACATGCATGTCCATACAAACATTGAGTCCTTAAATGCATAAACATATATATAATTGGAGTCTATGTGAACCTCCTGCAGGGCTGTGAATCAGTTTGCCCTCTACAGCATGCATCTTCTTTGAATTAGTGCGTTTGCTCTGACTGTAATTGACTCATACAGATGAATAGAGCTCTTTTTTTTTGTTTGCTTTCAATTTCTTCAGCTAATAGAGTTATAAGTGGACATGGTCTGCTTTCTATCAGTACAGTGGCCTGTTGGGCTGCCAGGAGCATTAAGGACAAAGCTTCATAAAATGTCAATTCTAATTTTCAGAGTCTTTGGCTCCACTGCAGATCTTTATTGTTTTTAAGGAGAAACAGGAAAGCAGACATATGCCAATAAGGTTATTTATAGTTAAGTGTCCTAAATGTCAGTATCTATAAAAAGAGCTATAATTATTTCCAAGGTTTCTTTTTGTTTTATTTTGTTTTCAACCTCTGACACACAGGAGCTCGATTAGAGGACCGCCTGTACGAGCATCTGGAGTGGAGCGCCCCGCCTCGACCCCGTGCACTCGAGTTACTGGGGGAACAAATGACCCAGGCTGGGCTGGAGATCGGATCGAACACACCCTATGGTGAGTCTGCATCTGTTTGCACCATTTGCCTTCTCAGCTTTTTCCGTTTTTAGATGGACATGATGTGTCATCAGATTTTTTTGTTTTACAATACTAAGTTAAAATGTCAGATTTTGGCATTTGAAGCAGTACAATTTCAGTAACTAGGAAAGGGGGAAAAATGTTTTTGAATAAAATTAAAGCTGCGACACCCTGGTTGCAGTAGCGTACAAACTTCTAAAATAACACGGTTGAAGCAGGCTTTGATTCAATTTCAGCGTTCAGTCTGATTTGGCAGGAGTTTATCAGCTTTCTGCATCTTGATTTGGCTGCATTTCCCCAACTTGCCTTTCAAAGGTTCTCCCAAATCTTTCACACTGCAAGAAAATCTACTCCTCATCAGGTGATGTTGTGAAACTGAAATGTACCTCTGCTGAAGTCGTTCTCCTGTTGAATAGTGACATTTACTGTTGTCTTTGTATCAAATTTCCCATTTGGAATTGTGATCAAAAAGCTAAATGTAGTTTTATCAAATCATAACTCAATTTTCCTCAGAGTTTTGGGTGATTTCAAATGTTTCCTTTGGGAAAAAAATCACTTTATCTCCATCAGTGTCGATGTCAGGCTCTGACGAGTTTCGCTCTTATTTTTTTATTCACATGAGTAACGTCTGCACGCATGTACAACCAAATATTGCAAATTTTTTGCGTGTTTTGTGCTTTTCCTTCTATTTTTTGTTTTGCTTCATAAATTAATTATCAATTTAAGTTAAAACAATTTAATACAAATGGCAGATGGACATTTTTCTTCTGTTTTGTAGTAGTAAAACAATCTTGAAAAAACAAACTACTTCTGCCAGCAATGTAATTGTGGGCTTATGTCTGTAACACTGAAGGTTGCAAAAGTTCTGAAATTGTGTCTCCTGATCTCACACCGACATCATATCAACCTGGTGTTTTCAACCACTGAATGTTTGCGTACAGGAACAGCTCTAATAAGGTGCGGCGAGGCCCAGAAGCAGCTGGGAGAAGCCGAGAGGAAGTTTGCAGAGTGCACAAACATTCACTTTCTCACCCCGCTGAGGAGTTTCACGGAGGGTGAATACAGAGCCATCCAGGTGAAACGCACCTCTTGTCTCTTACTACCTCTCCTTTGCTGTCAGCCATGTAAGGCGTTTAGCTTCTGACCCAGTTTTATTGTAAACGGTTTAACAGAATGAGCGTAAGATGTTGGTGAACAAGCGTTTGGACTTGGATGTAGCCAAGACCAGGCTCAGGAAAGCCCATGAAGCGGACAGAGAGGCCAGGGTGAGCTGAAGCTATAGTTTACCCGGAAGTGTGGGATACTAAAAATAAAAACATGACAATTTTCTTGTAACATTATAACATCCTGTTTTTTTTCTTTTGCCAGAACCTGAATGCGAACCCGTTGGATGATGACTACCTGTCTCACGTTTCCTACATGTTCAGCTTCCTGCGTGTTAAATGGCTTAAGGTTCGATTCCTTTTGAAGAAACGTGAACAACAAAAGAGACAAACATTGTAGTTTGGGCTTTAAAGTAGTTATTTCTATGCTTTCTCCAAACAGATATGGGCTCAGGAAATCTCTCAGGTACAAACATCTCTATCTTAAAGCTCATTGAGATGGTGTGCTTCTGCCACTTCTGACAGATTGGTTGATGGAAAATAGACCTACACCAACACAGATCATTGGAATTTTTAATGTCAAAGAGAAACAGAAAATGTTTTTTCTCAGAACCAAATTGATTTGAAGGTGTACGGTGCTGTCTAACGAGTTGTGTTCGTGTGCGAAGGCGGAGATGGAGCTGAGGATCTGTCAGAGTCTTTTCGATCGGCAGTCAGAAATCACAAGACGGGCTCTCGAAGGAATCGACAACACTCACGTATGTTTAAACCAGGACTGCACCGATTTATCGGCCAGCCGATTTTTCTTAATTTTGGGAAATTTCTTATCAGCTGATTTTTACATATGAAGCCGATTTTATCCAGGTTGGCAAATGTTTAGGAATCAACCACTGTCCTCTTCTGCACTGTGGTGAGAAAGGTTTGACTGATAGACCTGCTCACTAAGTTATGTCTGCATGTTTACAATTACCAATAGTTACTCCACTCTTGCCAACTCAACAACTTTCTTGCTACATTGTGCAACATTTCAGACCAAAAAAATGGTATCAGCTAAAATCAGAATCAGCAGGTTCAGCTTTTTAAAAGATCAGTACTCGACGATCGGCCAGAAAACTGCAATCGGTGCATCCCTAGTTAAAACAAATCCTAAACAGAGTATGTGACCATATTTCTGTAAGATTCTGTACGATTCGGTGTCAAACGTCGCGTTGCCCGTTTCTTTCCTCAGATCAACCACATGCGGAGCCTTACGGACTTTGTGGAGGGTCAGGCGTCATTTTTCGCTCAGGGCAACCAACACGCACAGGAACTGCAAAGACAGATGTGCAGGTCGGCATTTATTATTAACAACCTCAAAAGAAGAAGTTTCTTCATGTGATAATGATAACAACTGTTGCATTTTAATAACAACAATGAAATCTAGGCATGTTCAACGTCTTAGTCGGGTGCAGTAGTGTGCAAAAGTTTTGGACCACAATTCATGTTTTATTTTATTCTTCTTCTTTTTTTATAAATTTATAAATGTTTATAAATGTTCATTAATGCTTAACTTGACTTTTACACATTTATATTCCAGATGAATTTATTTGTTTTAGGTGCTTTTGCTTAACTTACAGTCTAAAGAAATATTCCTAAAAAAAAGGCTAGTTGCTTTGGAATTTTGTACTATATTTGGATTTATCTTTCCATGAGTATGCTTGAATTCCCAAACTTTACTACAGATATCAATTTGTAAGACACTCTCATATCAGGTGATTTTGTTGTTTTATAACATTTATATTCATATTTTTCTCATTTTACTTTCAGGATTCCAGCTGTCTTTTGCTCTAATAACTGGCAATCAGCAGTTAATAACGAGCCACCAATCAGCAGCCATGTTGCCGGTGAGCCTGTCGGGTTGGATCAGGTCACTGCGGTTCCCAAAGTAGTTCGCCAGCTGCCAGACTTTGACCAGGACTCGTGGACTCTTGCTGTCAATCCTAAAACTGAAACAGATCTCTCTTCATCTGATCACACAAACAACAACAACAACAATAGCGCCTTCAGTACTCTCGGTCAATCAAGCGGTCACCAACCAGCTGTTAAAAATCAATTATTTACACACCAAACATTTGATCTTGTATTTACATCCAGCCAATCAGATGAGCTTCTTTCACCCAGCAGGACAAATCAGGGAACAAACAGTTTGCCTTCTGCTGTGAGAGACTCGTCCCGGACTTCCAATGCAGCGTTTACCAACGCTGCCGCTAGTTTCACAACAGCAGCCGCGTCGCCTCCTCCTCAAGGAAGTACAATCCAAAATGAGAGTCAGACGGGAGACGCCGCAGCTACTGACATCACAGCATCCACTGATGTGGTTCCCGATTCCCAAACAGCCAGTAAAACTCATGAGCGGCCAGTCACCAGTGGAGAAGATGTCGAGTCGGGGTTGTGACAATTTAGAGCACTTCACAGTTGGTTCTCAATATCTGGAGCTGCTGCTCTATTTAGAGGACACAAACATTAGGTGTGCCAAGCTGGATTAATTATCCTTATGGAGACTCCATAGTAATTGTAAAAGTGCTTGTTTTACAGGGCTCATGTCATCATTTTTACAGTTTTACCGTCGCAGTTGTGTTTTGGATTGTTGTATTCATTTCAGCGTCAAAGACAACGAGCACAAAGGAGCTGGATTTTCCGGAGGGTGATGATATTGCAGAGGGAACACATAATTGACACGTGTGCCACCCAAGAAGATCAGAGTGACACCAAAGTCTTCAGCGAGAATACGAGTTCATAAAGCAAACATTTATATCTGGATTTGTCCAGTGGGGAGATGGACGTCAGCAGAAATATTGTCGGAGAGTATTAGCTTGAAGACCTAACTGACCGGCTCCTTATTCTGAGATTTAAAAGTGCTCTGCAGCAGGCATATATAAGCTCCAGCTTTGACCTACATTGTCACTATGATGTAAGTGGGTGTCAGCAATTACAAATTTCACGACTGTGTCGACAGCTATATACTGGTTGCGTAAAAAAATTAGAGGTAATGAATGAAATTAGCTGAGGATCTCAGTTTTCTAAACATAATTAGCCTCTGTTTTAAAGGGGCTTCCTATCTGTCATGAAACTAAAACTACATAAGTCTGCCTGCAGCTAGTTATCTTACAACATGTGTGGTCAGGGAGTTTAATAAGACTGGAGACGTCAGCAAACATTTCATACTTTTCATCAGTGGTAACATCTGAGGTAAAACATCTCTTTGTTGCATGAGAAACTTTGTGCTCACAAACGACAGCTGCTGTCACCGTGATGGTCAGCCTAATCACTCTACTAGAGCTATATCTGGTAGAAACAGCTCTACTAGAGATAGTAAAACCTTTAAAACCTTACACAGTCCAGGTTTTTTTTATGCAATTATAAGTGTGTCACCATTTCAGACACGTGTGATTTCATAGGTTTTATTGTGTCCAAAAATTACATTTTTTTAATTATCTGCTTTGTCGAGCAATAGAAAAGCTGATGATCATTTTCATATATTTAACAATGTTAAGATTTTGAGTTTTTCTTGCTCTTAGTTGATGACATTTGCCAATTAGCCTCGATTTAGTGCCAGTATAAATGAATTTAAATGTAGCCACACAAAATAGATGTTTGATATTTAAGAGACGAAAAAAACTGTTACAGATGTTCAGTGTAAAGTGGAAACGAAGTCTGTATTTTCACAGACAATCACCAAACGTATCAAGTGTTGTGCCAATTGTACATGTGTGTAAATGTAGTTGTAGAGTTTGTATCACGTTGAAAAGAGCTACTTGTCTCTTCTTTACTCGTGTTTCTCTGAGGTGAGATTGTTTTCCGTATGAAATGCTCACTTGTCTTCGTGTGTCGCAGAGCCCAAGAGGTGAAAACACTCCAGCCTCAAATCAATCTTTATGCTTCTTTACACAGACTTGGTTCTTTCTTCATCCATGTTGTCCAGTAATTTATTTTCACCACTTTTCATTTTCTTAAAGCCTTTTTTATTGTGAAACGGATAAAAGTTTCCATATGCAGATGTTGATTTTTCTTCTGCTTCTCTGTTTTGTTAGGCCAATTTTGGGACCCTGAAACAGACATGATGATGTAATCTCCTACACCAAAAGCAACACTTTTGTCCCGATGCATAAATATACTCGGGGCTGGTTAGTAATAAAGTTTCTCCTCTCATGTCCGCCCGGTCGTGAGCCTGTGATTCAGCTGCTTCGTCGAGCCGACGTCGGCGCCAGCTTGGAGTCCGATTGGATTTTGGTAAAGATGAAGAAACAAAAGCTTTGGTGATGTCATACCCGAGCAAATCAAGTGTGAAATGAATCTTTCTTCACCAGCAAGGTTCGTTCCCGGGAACTCCTTGTTAAAAACCAGTTGCACCGCCTGGGTTCACATAGCGCACTAATGAGGTCTGTTGGAGTGCGACGCGCACTGGCTCGCATGTAGGAACACCTAAATACTATCCAAAAAAAGTTCAGTGTTTGTTTCTCTTCTCTTTCCTTCATCTTTGCTTTTTGCTCCTTTGCCGTCCAAAGCAGATCGACTAGATCAGATGCAGAATGTGTGGCATTGACCTGTCGGGAGCCTCTTGGCTCTCCAACATAAATGCTTGTTATCGCCAGTGAATAAGCTCTCGGAGGCCCAAATGTCCAGCTCCCCACCCCTGCTTGGAGTCACATGGAATAATGTCACTTTGTCTCAAGTGACTCGCTAAACAAGAATAGAAGCTCCTCAATCTGTCCACGGTTGGGTGTATTTCCCCCACTACCCTGAAGCAACATGTGCCTTTCACTCTTCCAGCCACTTTTCATGCTTCCGTAATGCGACGCTTTCCGTCAACAGATATCAGAGCCGTCCTTTGGCCTCGCACAGCGTCATGCAGGAAGAAAAAGGAAACTGGCTCAATTTCCTTAGCTCAAAGGAAATTGCTTGAATTTGGCTATGTTACAACTCTAACATATTTTTTTGCCAAGTCCCAAAGTTCTGCCCGCTCACCTGATTTGTGGCAATGTAGCACCTTTGAAATGTTTCACATTTCAAAGGTGCTATGACCACGACTATTGCACTTTATTGGGCTTTTATGTCATAAACAATCTTGAAATAACTTGAATGGTGAAATGGAAGCAAATGGATGGGATTTTCCACAAAGTGTATCTAAAAAAAAATTGTCTTCAATTCAGTTTGTTCACAAAGCACCAACGTACAACAAATAATCTCAAGTCTCAGGGCTTTGCAAAGAGTAAAAACAGTCCAGCTCAGTTTATTGTTCAAATTGTTGAAGGTTTAAAAACCTAGTGGATGGACAGTACATTGCATTAAATCAATTATTGAAGAACTTGGCAAAAAAAAGACCCAAGAAAATGGATATTGTCTCTCAAATGATAAAAACTGAGTTAGAGATTGGTCAGGAGGGCCAAAGCAGCATTGAAAGAGCTTCTGGAGTTTCCAACAAATAATCATTTTGTTCTTCATGTGGCAACATTCTGTTGTATTCTCCACAGATTAACACTGAGCAGAAATTAAAGACAGTCTTTCTGCCACTTACTGCAGCCATTGGATTTGTGCCGCCTTCCAACTAACACAATTTGTTATTTAGGTGAATTATGATTAGAAATCATATTTGGAAGCATTCTTTCACATGTACATGTGCTCTTTTTTATAATAATGATTATTTATTTTTATTTTTTTTTACAAAAAAAGGAGCAAAACAGTGTCAATGCAGTCTGTATTTCACCAATGAGAGAACATTTTGCTCTCCATAAAGTGTATGAACTGTATGTCAGCCTGTTTCAAGAGCATTAGAGACACTTAAGAAAATACTCCTTCTACTTATTCAACAGAACACAGAAGGCGAAATGGTTGTGCAAAACCCATGTGCCAAAAAAAAAAAAACACAAATCTATTGACACAAATGTGCTTTATTTTATTTTTTATTCATGGACTCCCATTCAGTCTCTGCTTTGTTGTGACAGCTACAATCACCGGGTCAAGAACTGAGTCATCTCAACAGATTTAGACCTCGCTTGCCCCACTTTCCATCAGCAGGCCGCGTTTTAACAGTATCTTTATTGTTCCCGTCCCTCCCCGTCCTGCACACGAGCGGGAACGAGCGGGGGAAACACCCAGACCAGCGCCGCGCAGTAAACGGCCCGCACGGGCTCCGCACGGGCTCCGCTCGGCGTGTTTGCGTCCCGCTGATGGTTTGCATCTGTTGCATGGCAACTCCTGCCGTCCCGCCTCGTCAGAAAAAAAAAGCCACATCTGTTTTTTCCCAACTTCCTCTGAAAGAAGTAAAAACCAAGGAGGGCCTTACAGTAAACCTTTTTACTGTGATTCCGTCTTTTAATTGTTCTCTCTGCTTTCTTCCTCCAGCTCCTTCCCTTGTCTCTGTTTTTTTTTTTTTTTCCAGCCACGTGGGCGGAGTTTCCAGCTGAACGGAAACTCGCGGTGCGGCGCGCAGGTGGAGGGCGGTGAGCGGCGTCTGGCGGTCGAGGATAAATGCGACTCTATAGTGGCTCCGGGTAATTTGCTGCTCTGGTAGAAACGCTGGCGTGCGAATGCAGGGGCAGACAAATGGTGTCGCAGTTTCCCACAAATAAAGATCAGTCAGACTGGACGATGGATGTGCACTTTGACTACACTCAGAAAAATTTGACCAATGGTTACTCAAAAAAATTGAGGCAACAAAGTGACACGTAATATAATTGAGTAGATTTTATGTTCTACAATAATGAGTAAAAAGTATTGAATATTTTAACTTAACTTAACTTAAAAAAAATCAAGTACATGTTAATAAAAGCAACAGCTGAAAAGTGTTGGATTTAGTAATATCAAGCCAAATGATAAGTTATATTGACAAAAAATATTTAGTAAATCCAACTCAATTTTACAAGGAAAAATTATTTCTATTTACTAAGTTTCTGAGAAAAGATTATTTAGATTTACGAAATATCTGTGGGAAATTGATTCATATTTACTGATAATCTAGGTGAAATTAATTTATATTTATTAATTAAATGGCTGAAATTGATTTAGATTTACTAAAGATCAGCATAAAAATTTATTTGGATTAAGTAAATAATATAAATGATATCAACTCATATTTTAGCACATTATTGCTTAATTCAACACATTAACACTGTTGTTCTTAGACATCTGTAGCTAAAATAATTGATAAATTCTAAGTTGTTATTTGTGTCATAGGACTTTAAATCTATTCAATAATATTGAGTGTCACTTTGTTGCCATAATTTTTTTGAGTCTAATTTACACAATATCCTGACCAAACTTGAGTGGCATCAAAAAACAACAAATTAAACAGCAGCAGCATTTCTTTGTGAAACTTTATAAAACGTAATTATCCAGCACCCAACAAGTGCAAAATTCCAAAATACAACAATAAAACAGAGAAGGGGCAATATACAATATATCAGTATGAAGTCAAAAACATAGTGCCACTCTGCTCAAAGTATAGTTAACATGATTTTTTAGAACAATCACATCAACAACAATCAACTTGGACTCAGTTAAGCTTGCTTCAACAATTTATCAATCACATAAACATAGTTAACTTTATGTTTAAGAGGCATGCAGAGCACAACACAAGTATAAATCTTACCTGGGGAAAACACGACAAGATGTGAGAGATGGGCAAGACTTTTGAGGCATAAAAACGTCCATTTTCTTATTTTGCATGTTTATGCTACATCTTGTCACTGTGTTGGGGCCCTTGGCTCCGTGACACTTACTTTCCTTTTCGAAAAATAAGTTGAAAGACAGAACTGAACAAAAACATATTATATAAAGTGCAAATGAAACACAACAGCGTTTTGCAGCCTGCAGATCATCACCCTTCAGTGGTGAAGCCTGCATGGACTCTCCAAAAAGGCAATAGTGGATTCTCTATGCTGTATAAAAGGGACAAGGGTTCATGTGACAGATCTGAACAGATCCAAAGCCATATAACAGGCTGCACTACCATATATGAAACAAGGGGTCAGTCCTTAGAAAGGCTAGTTAACTGTAATGTACTGCAAGAAAAAATACACATGCAGAAATCCACTGAACTGAAAATTACCCAAATTTTAACTAACTTCACAGAGCATGTCACAAAGTTTTGTGTGTTGGTTTTGACAGTGACTTGCCTATTCCCTTTTGTTTAGTAAGGGTTCGTTTTCTTAAGCCAGTAGTTTATTCCTGAGGCTGTTCACTTTTGTGGAGAGCTTTGAACTATACAGTCCGAGGAGAAGTTTCTGAAACACTTCAAACGTGTATCTGAGCTTCTTTGGATAGGCAAGATTCACAGCATATGCCAACCCAACAAGCAGGGAGCAAGCCCTTGGAAAGTTACCCAGAGCAGTTAGAATTTTCACGCCATCCACCACGATACCGATGTCTGGATCCTCTGACGTCTTAGCTTTGATGTTGTAGATCTTCAGGCTTTGAACAGCAAGGTCCTGTGACACACTGTCTTCATCAGCATCCTGTAATAGCAAGAACATTGTGCATATTAGACAGTACAGCCAAAGGAGAAGGTTCCATTTCCCAAATTGCTTACAACTGTTTGGACAAGAAAATCTGGAGTTTGTCAGCCGTTGCTAGTAATGCACTCTATTTATGTCAGTGTTTTAGACAAATATGAGATAACATTATCTCATATTTTAAATTAAAAATGAATTTAAAAATTAAAAAAGACAAATATAAATCAATCATAATAAAATATTATATTATAATATAATCAATTATACAATGATGAGCTGAACAGTTATAAATATTTCTAAATGAAGTTTCTGAAATTAAATCAATCCATTACACTATTATTTCTTCCTGACACTGTCTTGATTAATATCTTATTCTGCATTGCCTCAGTCTTTCTGTAAAAATGTCTTTGTATTCACAAAGCTGCGCCTTGGCCATAATTTCTTAGCTCGCTTTTAGGGACAAATTGCAAAGACTTAAAAAAAAATCAAGTTATGGTTAGGTAAAGCATTCTTATGAAAAAAATTAAATAAATTACTGCCAAGTTTTAAATTATGCCAGTTGGTAAAATGAAATTGAGATAGCATTCTGCACTAGCACTTAAAAATTTCTTAATGGAAAATAAAAATTAAAACACACTTAACAGAGGACAATGATAGCTTACCAAGAACTACTGGGAGAAATAAAGTTATGACTATTTTGTAATTTGACTTTCCAACGAATACCAATTAGAAGAGTTGAGATAAATCACCTACTTTATTTTAACATCTACTTAAACTTACATCGTACTCTTTTAAGAGTTGATCTGTAGATTCCCCAAGGTACATCATCAAACATCGAATGATAACATCTCTGGTCATGTTGATGTCAGGATTGCTTGGAGTCTGAAACAAAAAAAATAAACACCAGGTGATTTATATTACTGTTAATAAGCTCAAGGATCCTTCCTGTGCCATCTTGGGGACCAGTGTAATAAAACACTACTGAAACAAATTCTCATGCGATTATTTCATATTCCATTTATAAAGAGAATCACAGGCTAACCTCCAGTAAATTTAAGTAATGATATTCCAGAAGTTTAAAAACAAAATTTTGAGAATGAAAGATTAGCAACCATAATGCTCAATGAAAGATACCTTGAGTAGGATAGCCTGCAACCTCAACCCCATGGTTCCGCCCTTGGAGTGGAAGAGGTTCAGAAGTCGAGGAGTATATTCATCCAGTTTGGACATGAACTTTGATTCAAGATGCACCATTGTGATTCTGTGAAACTCATCCTGGATCTGAAAGACAAATCATGAAACCAGTTTTAAAGCCTCAAATATTACAAAGATACATACTGTTCTTACGACATTTTTCAAAAGCAAGAAGATGGATCAAATTTGATCTATAAAATAGATGACAGTAACGCAACACATTTTGTATCAAATAGCTAAATGCAGAATCACAAATGCAATCCTTCACATTGACTAGGAATATTTCTGATTAGCATGCACTTATAACTCACATGAGACGGCTCAAATAGAGCGGGCCATCTGGCTTTGATGTCCTCTATACTGGGAGATTGGTTGATGATCTCGTTTCTTCTGTGTGCAAATGTTTTGGCCATTTTTTCTTTTATCAATGCATTGTTGTCCTTTTTCTTTACTTCAGTAAGCAACTGAATCCTCTCTTGTTCTTGACTTTCTTCATCCTCTCCAGCCGGGTAAGGAGGAAGGAAGTTTACCTCTGCTTTTCGAGGCTTTTTTACATTCTTTGCAGACTTCTTGTCCGCAGGGGTCTTGCGTTTTAGTGCATTGCATAACACCTCAGGAACACCGTAGCCTCTGAGTTTGGTGCGATAATTTGACATCTTGTATTTAAGGCTTTGCTGCCAGCCATAGTAACCTGCAAAGGAACCGGGTTCCTTGAGACAAGGATATTTGTTGACAAGTGCCTCAGCAACATCACTTATCTGTGAACCTGATGGATAGGCTGTATAAGTATATACAGTTTCAGCCAGTTTCTCAAGTATGTCTGGCTTGATCTTCGAGGTAGTGAGAAGTGTTCCATTCTTCTTGTAGTCCTCATTGCCTCTTTCAAGGTACATCTCAGTTTCGTATGCAAACTGTGGAATGGGGAACTGCTTTGGCCATGACTGACAGCGTTCTGTGGTACTGCGCCCAGACAGGATAATGGTGTCCTGTGAAGAAGATGTTCCAGCAGTTGACTCTGCATTTGACTCTTCAAACGATGCAGAGTCACAGTCAGTGGAATGTTGAACAAAGGAACTGTCCAAACTTTCATTAGCTGCATACAAGTTCAGAAGAATAGGAGAAGTGTGAACAACCTTTATGGTGCCCTTGTGTTTGATAAGGTCATTGTTGTGAAGAGTAAAATAATCTTCAAATTCCACATCAAAATACTGAAGACTGAACTCAGTAGAAATCCCAAAGGTGTCCTTCACAATATTATGCAGCTCCTCCACAGTGGGCGGGATGCCTGATGGAAGGTCCAACTTCTCAATTCGGTCGTCAATTATTACTCTGAGTTTTGCCTCCATCTCTGCCATCCAGACAAGAATAGACAAAAGTTAAATATATTGTTATACAGTACATGAAAAAAACCTGTATAAAAAAATTCATAAATAAAATCTGTACTTATTTAAGTGGAACACCACACTTATAATCATAACATTAAATGTGTGTGCCATAATTATGATTATTAAATTGCTATAATGTCAACAAAAAAGGATACTGTTGTTATATTTCCAGAACAATGATTTTAAAAACAGATGTTATGAGATGTAAAGGTTAACATAATTTATCAAAATTACCTAAAACAAACAACAGATGTGACGTTTGAGTGTGACCAAGCGTTTTCCTCCCACGCTGTATGCAGCCAAGGGGTACACATCACCAAGTTTCTGCTGCTCAAGAGCCATCTTGCCAGTGTTCTCTAGTTGAAAAGATCTAAGATGCTCTTCATACCATGCATGTAGTAACTTTACAATAAAATGTGCACGGCTGTTTAAAATGGCTATCTGAATAATCTCAGCAAAGTCAGGAAGTCCTCCAGTAGAGCCATACGGCAAGATCATCCCAACAGTGTACTTTGTTCCATAGCAAGTGACAGTGTTAGCAAACTGCACGGAAGACAGAAGCGGTGATGTTTCTCTTAAAGCTTCCTGTATGTCTGAATGCAGCACATCTAAAGGCATCACAGATATTTTTGTGACACACAATGGCTGTTTTCCAACATCAGTATGTAAATGGCATGCCATCATCATCTGATGTTTTGTAGCAAGGGTCACCAATATATTTTTGAAGTTCTTTGTGTGCCTCACAACTTGCTTGAAAAAGCTGTGTTTCGCTTCAAAGCGCATTGTCCATACACCAACCAGAGGCCCATACTCTGCAATCAGTGCAGGGTAATGTTCTAAGTAATGGTGTTTGGGTGTCAGTGTCTCTTCAGGAAAAACTGCTAAGAATCTGTCACGATGCTCAGATATTTTAAAGTCAAGGTATGCAATAGTTTCAACTGTATGAACAGGGGCAACCACCAATTCAACAATATCTTTTAAAGTCAGAAGAACCTGCCAGGCAGCATCATCCTCAGGTACCCGTGAACCAACATGAGTGGCAACAACCGTATTAGGGCCCAATTTTCATGGGCATTTCCTCCTATCGTTCTGCGACGAATGTAGTTTTGAGGGACTGCTTGAGGGCTGTTGGCTTTGTCTGAGCCCTTATAGGGAAAACGTGTGATTAACTCGTTGAGTTCAGTCAAATTAAAGTACTTCTTCTTGGTGAAAGTCTGAAAACACAATGCTAGTTCTCTTGGGACTATTCCTTCAAAAAGGTCATGTAGTGCATCTGGTGGATACCCAGACACAAATGAAAGTGATTCAGTTTATCAGTCAATGGACACGACCGCTTAACGCCAAAGCAATGGGTTAAATTTGGATTTTCTCTCACAGTTTGTACATGCAAACTATGGTCCTTCTTTGTCCGAGGTGGAAACACTCCAGTCCGCACTTCGTGTGTCTGGTACTCTGAAGAATGTCCAAGACAAAATCTACAGATGTACCCTGTGAAACTTTCAACTAGTCCGCTAATTGAATGTGCACCGAGATTATCGGCTACAACACAGTGTACAGTTCCTTTTACTCTTTTTCCAACACTGGAAATAAAAATCCCGTCCTGTTTCTAGAGTGGCAAGATCTTTCAAGAGGGGTTCCAAAACTGCTTTGTATTCAAACTGTTTGACATCAACAGCTTTGCAAAGTAAAGCTAGGTGTATCGTTAATGCAGACTGCAATTGGAAAGGTACATTTGCCAAAATCCAATAAATTGCTGTTATTTTGTGTTTTTTTTTTTGAAGTTCCTAGTGGGTTGCACACCTCAAAGTCATCGACATAAAGGATTACAGAGAGTTTTGTCTCTTCTCCAGCATAGAAGGCATTTTTGAAAAGTTTGCCATCAAAAGTTGACTTAATATATCCAGTACTGTTTAATGTCTGGATGAGATTCCCTCTGCAATGTGTTTATTCTTCAAAACCTTCTGCAAGTCTCGAGAATAGGTACATATTGAAGGTCTTGTTCTTTTGGGAATCAAGGATATATTCAACAGGATCAACACACTGAAAATGCTCCTTAAAATACCTTCTTCTCTTAAAAGCTGAACCAAGTGGACCACCTACAGCAAATGCTGTACTAATGGGATGGAAGTTGCATAACTGTTCTGCCAAGTCTGTTATGATGGCCTGGTCAACAATGCTCTTATTTAACTTCAATGTTGAATCAAGTATATCTCTAACAACTTCAACAGATGCTGAAGATGAAATGAACTGAAGGTCTTCAACCAAGGCATCAATGCACTTTACAGAGGCATTATAGACTTTCTAGCTTCAGCAGAAACCAATTCTTTGAAGAACCAAGTATGATGCACTTTCCTTATCACAATCTAAACTTGTGCACTCATTATGACTGGCCTCTAATGAATCAGGATGGTCAACAATCTGATCGTGGTGACTGTCATACACACCTTGCTTAAACCGCTCAAAGAATAGGATTTGTGTGTTCTACTTTTGTGTTTCAGAAATGTATTGTATATATTTGTCCGAAAGCTGCATCCTTCAAATACAAAAAGACAGTTTCGTGGCTCTTTAGGTGATTTCCGATATGCTGAAAGTAGTCCTTTTCTGTAGAACAACTAGCACTGCAAACTAAGCACTTAAAAGCAGAGATGATTCCTGGCTGTATAATGACATGACTGTATGATACCTGGACAAATGTGTGCGAAGGGCACCCTGTGTTTTAAATGTGCAAGGGCAACTGTCATATAGACATGGCTGGGTTTGCCCACGACCAAATGTTGCGTGTTGTAGTCTGTAATGTTTTAGTAGATTCCCCTTTGTTGCAGACAAAGACTTGCAGATCTTACACTGCCACCCCATAGGCCAGAACCTAAGATAATAAGAAAAAAAGGTGTTTTTAAATTAGTGTATAACTAGTAGCATACATCACTAATAGATCTAGTAATTAAATAATGTGCCAGGGCTGAACAATTAATCAAAATTTTCAAAATTGCAATACAGCCTACTGCAATTTCAAATCACAGGAGGTACAACATGTCTTAAATCTTAAAAAAATATTTTAAATGAAATGTTCTACTGCAAAAATGTCCTGGCCTACACATCATAATCTAGAGACTTAAAAAAAATAAATACGTTACACATCCCTGCAAGAATCACGCCATAATCATCTTAATTTTCCAATGAAAATAAGAGCTCTATAATATACCAACTATGGATGAATACCTCATCCAGACCAACTACAAAAATGAATTATCGTTTTAAGATGATAGACAAAACATGAAACAGATTTTAAGGTAATATGCAGATCAACAAATGCCAAACAATAAATATTAATGTCAAAGATGCCCAAAACGGACTAACGAAGCATTTCTCTCAGTCTCTCTGTGGCAGCAGTCAGTACGAAGCTCTACGTACTGATTTCAACCCAACATTCACAGACGCATCTCACTGTGACTGTTTATCTGTCAGTGTGAGCTGCAACCACAGTTTGAAAGCAAAACGTTTTTCCGAGAAAACAGGAAAAACGAGGAAGCCATTTGTGCCATCTGAATGTAACTAACGTAACGTTAATGGAGAGCCTCAGTGAGAGCCGGTGAACTTGGGTTTAGCAAAACACCAGCCACTGTGCTCAAATCACAAATAACAGACGTTCCATGAAAATAACGCCAAATTAAAAGAAGAAAGAATAAACTGCGCACTTTGTCTCAAAATGTAAAAAGGCAGATTTTTCTTCCGAAATGTGTAACGTTATAAAAACTGATTAGAAATCAGCTTTTAACATGCTACTTGAGTAAAAATGTTACTTGAGTACATTTTAATTGTAAAAACTAAATGCAGTAACTTTAAACGAAACTCTTAACTTGATTAGCCTCTCACCGTTCAAAACAACGTCTGTTCCTCCATTATGGAGCCCAAACATGCTAGCTAGCTTGTTGTGGTGGGGGAGGGGGAGCTTGAGCTGAGGCCAAAAAACTACATTAAATAAAAGAGTAGCTTGTATTCTACGGCCACTATATATCGGTATTACGTTAGTCACATTAAATTGTGACAGAGACTACTTTTTCAATCATTGCGATGTATTTAGTCAAATCAAAGACTTCGAATCCTTCACACTATAACTTTGAAGTTGCCATGTTTGGTCATTTGCAGTAAATTAAGACAATGTTTAACTGCTACAAACACTTGAATTGTTTAACTAAGAACAATTAAAACATTTCTTACCTTTAAGCAAACGGTAGTCCATGAAATGCCAAGCAGACTGGATGTTCAAATGCCTTGGGGCGGGAAAAATAAAGGCCTCCCAATGAGTAAAATTTATCAATTTTCTGCACTTTTGACTTTACCAATGAAAATAAATAAATTCTACTTATTGTTTTTCTGCTGATTTTATTGAAATAAAACCGAGTAGAATGCAATTAAAATATATTCAAAATTTGGTTAATTCAGCTCAGTGAGAGTCAAAATTGCACAAAGTCTTTTTTATTATGTATAGTTTGCTCTTATTTATTTAGCAAATATTACTAAACCCTGATCACACTTTTTTCAGTGTAGGCCATGAATCTGAATTAATATTATTTCACTATAAATCTGAGCGTGCGCGCGCAATCTTGTTAACTCAGACTCCCTGTTGCTGCTGAAGCATCAGAGTATAAAGAGCTGTACTATATAATATGCAATAGCAGGAAGTTGGGAACAATTCACATTTTTATCATGTGCCATGGCAACTTTTTTTTTTTTTTTTTTTTGTTTCGTCCGTGTCTTCCTGCAGGTTGTCCCTTTTCCTCAGATAAATCTGCCAGCGTCGCTCCGAGGCGACCAGACACGCGTGCTGACGTGCGCGACGCGAGGAACAGGCTGCAGGGTCCGCTGGGAGAGAAAGGTCAGGGCGTTCCCCTCACCGCGCGGCGCGGCGCGGCGCGCCGGCGCAGGACGCGGCGCGGCGAGGCGCGTCCTGCTCCTGCAGCTGAACACGCGGCACCTGCTGGACCGCCGGACGGATCGAGGCCGGCGGTCACCTGTCGGCTCGCACGCATCGGTCACCAGGCAACCGAGCTAAACGCAATAAAGCTTGAAGCCTGTCGCTTAGCGACAATATTTCACTTAAAGTGGCGAAGGCAAAGTTTAAGTGAAACTTTTCTATTTGAGGATTTTCACAGACACACAAAGAGCTCGATGTGAATTCTTACGTCTTGTTGGAAATGCTTTTTTTTTTTCTTTACACGAGATAAGTTATAAATCAGTTGAGCTTTTAACAGCGCACTGTAGTTATTATTTGCCCTTTAAAGTCGAGAAATCTTCGCTGAAATCTTCTTTAGATTGAAATTAGATTTGCATCAATTTGAAATAGGATAAATAAAAAATATGCCAACTGAGGTCTGATAGCAGAATTGTTTTAACACTTATTGTATGCATGGCTGACACCAAGTTAGTAAAGGCTTAACTTCAGATTCATTTGTTTTGTCGGTTCATTTCTGTATTTAAATATTTATTTATTTATTTAAAAGCGAAGTTTGGAGTTTTGAATGAATTTGAACCAAATCACACAGTCGAACCAATAGTTATCAGACTGTAAAAATCATTTCTCACTTTGCAAAGCAGCTTGTTTCTGATGGCGATGAAACGGGCGACTCCTCAAAGACAGCAGAGCAACGTTTTAAAAAAAACAATAAATAAATAAAACAGAGGAAAACAAACAAACAAACACAGAGTCGCAAATGTGAATCCCACCTTCACATTTGCATTTGGTGGGATTTACATTTTCCTTGCGAGACTGAGGCAATGTAATGAATGCTCTTCTAAGTAATCAGCGGAAAAGTAGTTTTTTTATTGACAACTCAGAAACTAAACCCAACATCTAACTTTGCAATCTCGCGTCGCTGATGCAGACCTCCCTGCCATCACCCTCATCTGCCTGCTTCCTCTCTCGCGTCCACCCCTCAGTCCACATGTCCGCGTCAGCGTGACTTTTGACTTTGCTCGCCCAGTCTCCACACACTCTCCTCTGGGTCCCCCCCCCCCCCCCCCCCCCTCCTTCTTCCCTCCTGCTGCGTTTATAAGTCAGAAACCGCGACGTTGAGCTCACAGAGCAGAGCTGTGCGCAGAGGGAGGGGGGGCTGCATGAGAACACAAGAGCAGATCTAAACAAAACTCACAACAACAACAACAAAAAATTAAATCAACACAGCAGTACAATAGGAGTCAGAGCCCCTGCCATGCATGCGTTTAGGATCTGGGTTGTGCTCTGTGCGCTCAGCGCTGCCGGTTCGTCTTCATGCGTGAACGAGGCTGAGGACGATGAGGACTACGGCAACGAGATTTCTCTGGACCAGCAGCAGCAGGGTGAGTTTTGCTTTGATCGTTTTCCCTGCCGGCTGCTCTGACTGGACAGACTTGAGGATCGTCGTGTCTCTTTGACAACGTGTCGCCACTGATTTGGATTTGATTAAGTCCTTCGCCTAATTTGACAAATCTATTGCTTTTTCCTTCTTGTAAGTATTTATATAGATTGTGTTTTTGTTTCTTTCTAAATAGAAAGACAAGTTTTAGTCAGTGACCGTTAAGTGTTGATCAGAGACAACCTGTTTTTGCAGTTGTTTGTTTGTTTTTGCCTGGAAGGGAAAAGCCTAAATAGTTTGTGTCCAGGACGTGGGGGGTCTGCAGAGATGCTTACCTGCCCCTTTCCTGACCCAAAATGCCCCTGCCAGTCCTGACCTGGATGGAGGAAAGGTCACATGACCTTCCTCTCAGTTAATGATGATCTATCTCAGAAAAATCCCAAAGATAACAGTTAAGGTTTGTGGTTGAGATCAGAGGAAATGCGAGAAATTTCAATTAAATCAACAAAGCAAATGCCTGTTCGCAAAGTGCTTCATATCCATGTTCACCAGCAAATACATGGCGATGGGTGTGTTCGGTTTGGGAGCTATACATGTCCATTTTGGCACATGACATCACGCAACCTTCACGGGTCTGCGCCATTAAATCCTCCCTGTGTTTTCCAGAGTCTCCAAACTCTGACCTCTCCCACTGGGACAAGCTCTTCGTCGCTCTGGAGGATTCCCACATGAGGCAGAACATGCTGCTGGAGTCGGCGGAGCGGTGCTGCGTCGGACCGGCGTCTCTGAGGAGCCAGCTGGACAAGCTCCTCCGGGCGGCGTCGCAGCAGAGCTCGCCCGGCCTGGAGTCAGCGTGCAGGGCGCAGGTGGAGCGGGAGGCTCTCGGGCTGCACCGCGGCCTGGCGGAGCTCCGCCGGGACGGAGCCGAGATGGAGAGGAGAATGAACGACACCTTGCAGGCGATCCTGCGCGGCAGACGCGAGGATGAGGCTCGACTGAGTCGCCTCGAGGAGGCCGCGTCAGGAAGCGGCGGCGGCGGACACCAACAGACTCAGAGGCCTGGAGGTCCGGGCAGAGCGTTTAGCTCGGGGTTGAACTCAGTCCCGTCCGAGCTGGAGGAGCAGGATTTGTCCTCGCAGGTGGACCTGGACATGATAAGAGGCTCTCTGGTCGTCATAGCGAGAGACGTGCAGAGGCTTTACCTGCAGCTGAGCACCGTGATCGAGCAGGCGGGAACTCTGAGGAAGGGCAGAGGAGACACATGAACTGGCTGCAAAACAACAACATGCACAGCAAAAAAAACAAAAAAAAAACAAAACTGACTTACTTTTGTTACATATGAGCTTGTATTTCTCTGCCGAGTAGCTACAACTCTAATGCGCCATTAAGAATCTTGTGGGTTTGCTATAATGAATTAAGAACTTTTTTTTTTTAAATCAATTTATCAATTAAAAAGTAAATCGCCCTCGTGGAAAATGTTTCCTCCCTTCTTCCAGTCTAATTTCCCACAGCAGCTCACGTCATTGCGTCTTCACGCGTCTGATTGTAGCGTTTGTTTTTGTCGTGTTGGCCGCTGATTCCCTCAACCACCGCAAAGGCAAGTAGGAGAGCAGAGCCATCTGGAGGTTTTGGTTCTGGGTGTAATTTAAGGCGTGTTTGTCCAGCTCGTTAGTTGCTTTAATGCAAAAGAGGCCTCGGCTTGCAGCACTCAGTGTTTATGAGTTACACACCCTCCTCCGGCCCCACACTAGTACACACACACACACACACACACACACACACACACACGCACGCACACGCACCCATGCCTGCTGGCTTGTTTATTGAAACCAAAGTCAGGTTTCTGGAGGCACTTTCCTCATATGTTTTGTTCTGTTTTGTCTCCTGTCACTGGATCAGTCTTTTTTTTTTTGTTATTATGTATTAAAAACATCAAAATGTGTTTTGATTTTGTTTCACCGGGGGAACAAATAAATGTGGGTTTGAAAAATTGCCATACTTTGACAACGTTAATAGGGCGCAAGTCCAGAAAGGCGGTCAGTGGAGGGTTTTTGCAGTGAGGTTCTGTCAGCTGCAGCAGTTTTACTCAACTAGCACCTGCTGTTGGCAAAGGTCCAAACAAGTTGGAGGTTGAAGCCATTGGGTGGTCCAAGAGGGGCCTCCACCGAAGAGGCAGGAGCTAATGGCTAGTCTGAGAGAGGTCAAGAACAAACCAGATTTCTACAATCTTAAAAAAGAAGACAAAAAAAACTTCTGTCCTTCCTCAATATTAGACATGTCACAATCATATTGGACGAGTATCTACAGATAAATCAATGACTATTTTCATAGAAGGGCGCTGGAGGAGACGGACCATCAGTGGTGTTTTTGGGTGAAACGCCTACTAACGTAGTAATTTTCCTTGTTTGTTTATTAATGGTTATTTGTATTCATTTGATCAGCTCCGCATTTGATTCATTTCAGGTTTCTCGTATGTTTTAAAAGGAAGATTGTCGGCGCCACGCTGCCTCCTCCCTGCGTTTTCTGCATGAATAATTATCCACTGGTGCACTAACACTACGATGCGAGCATGGCGATTGTCTGAACGTTCTTCAAATTGTATTTGCAAAAACTCAAATTCATCTTCCAGAATCAGCAAATCTGAATTTCTACTAAAACAGAGATGATTTGTGATCTTCAAGTGAAATTTCAGATCTGGAATCAGGAAATGGAACAGGCAGGATTATGAGACAAGTGAAAACAGGTGAGTCTAATTAACTGAATGAAATGCAACTGCAGTCGATCACAAACTGAAGCTTGGAGAGAGAGGGGTTATCAATGTTTGTATTCCTTAACACCAGCGATCACAAATGTCGCACACGCTGGCCTATCTTTTATCATGTTCAGCCAATTGCTTGGCGTGATTCAACAGTTACGGCAATTTTCTTTTTAATCTTTGGACCCAAAGATCTGTTGTGGTAACGTCTCTCGTTGGTGGAAGTGAGCAGGTCATCTGGAGTCCTTCAAAAAAGGTTGCGCAAACAACGCCTGCCCACTGCACCAGTTCCACCGCTGGCCAACCAATGCAGTGCACCCAAGTGAACAGAAGACATGTCAAAAACCACAAATGAACACAAGAGAAAATAGCCACACGAGCACAGGAAATCACAGGAGTAAGTAAAACAGCCACTGAACTAAACATGAACGAACCCAAAAAGAGAATGGCATGCTATCACTAAAACCTCGTCTTGGAAATCCCAAAGCATACATTTTCAAAGTCCCTTTCAGATGACAACATTACAACCAGGGTACATTTCTTCCCACCCCTTTTTTTTGTATCTGCATCTACAATTTTACAGGCGAGTTAAAAACCACTGACTGCAACGTTTTTCTTCGGGCCTGTTTCCCTGGCCAGAAGAAACCTTTGTCTTGTCTCTGACAAGACAAAGGTGTGTGTTGCTGCCTGACCTTACACCTGTTTTACAATTTCCCTGGATATTTGCAGCAACAATTCATATCATGCAGACCCAATGATCTGTTCAATGTGGTGACACTTGACTTCCATTAAAGGTCTCCATCTGTGCAGTGCGTGTGGTGGGGGATTTTAAGAATGGCTTCTTTGTTGTGTTTTTTTTTTGTTTGTTTTTTTTACCAGCATGCAGAAGATGGAGCCATGAGAGTAGGAGGCTAATGATGGGGAAAACAGAAGAGGAGAAACCCAGAGAACAGCACTAATATGGTGGGTAAAACAAAAAGAGACGATAACTGTTCTCCATGCATAAAACAACCACTGTATGAGCCAGTTGGCCACACAGAGAGACAATAATCAGTGGACATTTTCTTTGTTTTTCAGCCTGACTTCCTTTTGATCTGCCCACCTTCTTTCATCTATTTTATGTCATCTGTAACAACTTCTTATCCTTTCTCGTTTCATATCTATACGCCGATCACATTGGATGCTCTTATCTACGTTGTCCTGGTAATATCCATTTGCCATTCTTTGCTTTTTTTGTTCGACCTCTTGTCATCAAACAACGGTCAAATCAAAGGCACCGACCTTTGGCGAACATGGTGGTGTGATGGTATGGGGATGAGTGCAAACTTTCTTGATCTATGTGCATAAGACAGAAAACCTCTGGAGGCTGATTAAAAGACAACAATACTCTCAGAGAGATTTTATTTTCACATCATGTAGTCACTTGACAGACAACACAATATTGGCACTTTCTTCTAAGCAAAAACAACAATACAAAATAGATCAAGCTCTGATGAACATCTAGCAGTCTCTTATGTACATTGGAACCATCCTCCTGAAGGACAACGTGTGGGCGAGGGGAAGAGGGACTGCGTCTGTCTATTTGATAGGTGAGTCCAGAATCTCCTCATACTCCTCCCTCTGGCGACGTCCCGCACGAGAGGGCAGCAACTTCATTGCCACTAGCCACCCGACGCTCAGCGTGATCATTACGTTCCCCACAACTTCCGGAGCGGTGGGAGCCAGAGGGAGTAGGGCCAAATGCAGGAGCATGGCTACAGGCACCTCCAAGCTCTGCGAGGCGGAGACCAGAGCTGGGTGGAGTCGGGTGAGGGCATGTGTCATTCCCAGGAAGGCCGCTAAAGAACAGGCGACTAAGCCCAGGATGAGGCTCCATGCTGGTAAACTCATAGGCCAAGACCAGCCCTCCTGGAGCAGGATCATAGTAGCTGGAGTGAGCAGGCAACCAGTCCAACTCACAGTGAACAAGGCAGTGCCAACTCCCACTCTGTCTTTCAGTGAGCGATACCCAACCAGCGCCAGGGCCATCCACAATCCCGCTAGTGCCGAAAGAGACCATCCGAAGGAACCTCTCCAGAATGTGACTGGGTCGACTGGTGCGTCGTCATAGCTCTCATCTGCCGTGGGAAGCAACACAAGGCCCAATCCGCACAGCCCAGCGGCTAAAGTTATCCCATCAGCCAGTCCCAGCTTTTCCTCCAGAAGCAGAAAGGCAAGGGTTGCTGACAGAGCGGTGGTTGCCAGTCGCCAAGTTGTTGAACCGTTTTCAGAAGAGACGAAAGTCAGGGAGGAGTATGCACAACAGAGGGAGAGCGAGTACGCGATGCCGTAACAGAGCAGACGTAGCCGATATCCTTCTGGCCCAAACGGGTTCTCCGCCCTGTGCAGTGGGACCACCACTGACAGAAGCTGGATGACGGACCTCACCAAGAGAAGGAACAGGGGTCCGAGGCTAAAGCGTTCAGAGGCCAGGCGGGTCAGGGCAATCAGGCAGCCGTGTGCAAGCGCCGCACCGAGCAGCCCCATCCAGGTGAGCCGAGACGCAGACACAGACGCCTCACCAAAACTGGCCAGTTGTTCTCCGACCCCTTTCCCAGATCCCTTCACTGCTTTGGTTCCCAGCTCACTCCCCTCCGCCCCCCCAGTGGCTTGAAGTTTATGGGCTGTATCCTTGTCTTTGGACCCAAACAACGTCAAGGGCCACTTCTTGCTCTCCGTGAGCCGTTTCCTGTCGGATGTCTCCTCCAAGAATGAGCCAAAGTCCTCGAATGATGGGGCATCGTCGTAGCCCTCGTCGCCTGGTTGGGGGAAATGGGTGTGTATTCCAGGTTGGGGGCTGCAGGGGGTTTGCGTGGCATACTTGGCTGTGACTGTGTGAGGGTGGATCTTCACTCTCTTCTTGGAGCCACTCAGAAGGTGAGCTGACTCCATTTTTAAAAAAAATTAAACCTCAGAGATGACGTACACCTGCGGGAGAAGCAGAAACGTTTTAGTACCCCACACACTAACTTCTTCTTCTTCTTCTTTTTAACCGTAGACCCCTGCAAATCCTCCCACGCCTTTCTTCGTCATGTTGCTTCTCCCTGGGATTCAGTTTGATATCTCATATATCTTTAATATCCGTGATAATAATAGCAGTGACTCACGTCTGCCAATGTTTCCCTGCAGTTTGCTACCAAATGCAAGTGGGCTTTACACAAATCCCCTGCTTAACCACGTTTCCCATGCAGTCAGACACATTACGTCCACAGTAACTGAATTAAGCAGAACAGTAATTGTCTTATCAAGCTCTGATCAAGTAGCTGCTGGCAATGGGAGTTATATAAGCCAAGCTTTTGAGCCTCCTGTCTTTTGATCTCTTTGTAATAACTTTTTCTTTCTTTTTTATTTTTTACCTGTGATTTCTAACACGTTGATTATGAAATGAAAACACAATATGCTCACTTAAGTCATACAACCAGTGCTACAGAAAACCTCATTTCTTTCTTGTCTAGTTTCGGTGTCTGCCTGATGCTGCGACGTCTTGCAGATGTCGGACTCACAACGTGCCACGTAAATATTATGTGGCACTTCTTCATTGCCGCATTTCAGGCAGAAAAATACCCAGAACCCCGTCGGGTCGATCTTGGTGTTTTAAACAGTTTCTCATAACAACACAACATTTGATCCTGCTTTTTGTGTTTTCGGCACACAAAATACATCTTTCAAATAACACAACTCTGTGTGTGCAATTTTCTTTGAATAAAGAAATGGGAAAACTATGGGAAGACTATGAACAATTTAACAGACTCCAATGTGCCCATGAGCCTGATCCAGATCAGGCAGATAGAGAAAAACACGTGGATGGATAGACTGAGCACATCTCAACAATTAAATGTCTTCACTCTGCAAAATTGTGCCACCCAATTTTTCTCTCCATATAAAGCTGACACAATTGTTTCTATCTTAAGGTATTTGCATGCAAATACCTTGTCTCTTTATGACTACGTGCCATAAAGAGACATGTAGTCTTTTTTCTCAAAGGTTGACGTTAAACCAAAGTAAACTTTTAAACTTTTTCATGAGTTTATAGGACAGTGTTATTTCTGTTTCATTGTTGCCTTGCAGCTAAAAGGCCCTGCTTTGTTCTCTCTGCATGTTAACTTGCATGTTCTCTGAGTGGATGCGTGGGTTTTCTCCAAGTGCTTTGGCTTCC